CGGGACTCATAAAATCCATAAAACATTGCATAAATAAGCTATAGCTATGGTGTTACCCACCACACCCGCCCCGTGCTGCCACTGCCATTAGCTGTAGTAGGGGGTGACTGTTGATGGAGATGAGCACTCGGATGTAGGGTTGCTTTCACAATGGGAGAGGAGTATGTCAACTTCCTTCCCTGCCTTCACAAACGTCAGCTTCGCGACACCACTTGTCGATGATGACGCTCGTGGTGTGGACGTCAGGTTGTAGTTGTACACAACCACGTCACATCACCCATCACCGTGTCTCGCGTGGGACTCTTGTCGCACAGAGCTTGCTTACGTCAGATACAAACGATTGTACGTTTACATACACTACTGTTCATATAATGATTGAAATGGCCAGTTTTGATTGATAGATTAAGACGCAATGACAAGTTTGAATATAGTGATGAAATGTTTGTGTGTGCCTATTAATAAATACGACCGGATTAGAATTTGTCTTCAGCAACCTATGCTTGTCGTAAGAGGTGACTAACGGGATCGGGTGGTCAGACTCGGTGACTTGGTTGACACATGTCATCGTATCCCAGTTGTGTAGATCGCTGCTCATGATGATGATCACTGGATTATCTATTCAGGAGTGTCGTTTTCCCATATATTCACACATCCGGGTTCGCCACAGTGGACCCTTCACTTTGTTACATGCAGATTGTGGAAGCTCAAATTCAGCTGAATGGTTAAAGCGATCGCATAAAGACAACGTGATATTGCGGGAATATTGGGACAGCGTCGGAAAACCGTACTCACTCCTCCAGACCTGTCCCACAGTGTCAATGCACTACTATGTTGTACTTTCAGAAGCGAGGCCGGGGTTGTTTTATTTCCTCGTGTGGTGAAACCTGCATCCCTTTTCGGCCACAATGTACAATAGTCATGCATGTTTGTGTAATTATGTTTTCCTTGTTTGAGTATTGAGTATGAGTAGTGGTATCACATTACAACAACGACACTTAATGTGTTGGATAGAAACAAATAGGTTCTGTACCTGTGGACATCAAGATTTGCTTCATTTAGGGCTTTGCATTTCCGTTGGGTGGAAGGGGAATTAGTGCGGTTCAGGGAGTATGAGCGAGACAAGCACCTCCCGTGAAGATCCCGATATGAATTTATCCTCGGGGCCCCTATCCGCTGGTGAACTCTGAAAAGTGGTCTACCGGATGTTCTGTCTATGAGACAACATGGTAATCCGGTTGTTTACAGAAACCGGGTTTGATTCCCTACATTAGTACATCTGTGGACCGTATTTCAAGTGTCTTCGTTGTAATCTTGCTGGTCTACTGATAAAAGCGGACAGGGTGTAAAATGATACTAATTCACCGTTTACTTACGCGACGTTCATCTTCAAAAACACCCGAAGAAGCAATAAAACTTCAGTGACTGAGTGAATTTTAGGTTTATGCCGCATTAAGCAATATTCCAGCAACTTTACGGCGGGGTACACTAGAAATGGGCTCCACACATTGAACCCATGTGGGGAATCGAACCCGGGTCTCCGACGTAACACGCGAACGCTTTAACCACTAGACTACCCCCACCGCCCCAGCAGTAAGATGCTGACAGCAGGATCGGCTGTCGGTACTCGCTGACTTGGTCAACACATATCATGGTTTCCGAGTTGCGAAGATCGATGCCCATGATGTCAATTACTTAATGTCTGGCTCAATTATTGACGGGTCGTCGTCAAAGAGCTGTGGTATTGACGTGTGCGACGTTAAACATCAGACAAATACACGCTTCCCTCGCGAGGGTTTCAGCTGGTCGGCCAGGCCTATGCACATGCAGGTGTTTGTGATAGTGTAATTAACTTGACAGTAGTTTTCCCTTCGTTCCAGCTATCCACGTTAACGATGTCGCCCCGCATCCGACGTGACCACGATGATGACGACAACAATGACAGGTACGTGGGCATGAATAATTTGCAACACGTTCATGTCATATATCTTTCGGTAACGTTCGGTAATCGTAGACTGGCTTCCGTGTTCTTTAAAAGAAATATTCAATATGATTTGCCTGACTATAACAGGAAGGGTCAATATTTCAACACCTCTGATTAACTGCAGATATGGCAAGTGTCTCATTTGTTGATGTCACGAAATATTACTTATTCAACATGTTCTATGAGAAGGGGTGGCTCCCAAACCTCACTCCCTATAGTCGCGCATATGGGTTTCAATAGTCCATTACCCATGCTTATCGTAAGAGGCGATTAACGGGTGGTCAGGTTCGCTGACTTAGGTGTTGACACATGTCATCGAATCCCAAATGTATAGATCGATACTCATGCTGTTGATCACTGGCTTGTCTGATCCAGACTCGATTATTTACATACCGCTGTCATATTGCTGGAATATTGCTGAGAGCGGCGTTAAACAATTAGCAAACAAAAGATACCTATGATAATTTTGGTTCTGTGAATTAAGTCTAAGTCTGCCCCCGTTATATCTTTGGGTCTCGCATATCGCTAAACCTACATCCTCGCATCAATTCCGTAGCTATTTGCGATACCAAATTAACCCCCTTTTTTCGTTTACATTTAATGATCAGTCAAACGTCGACGTGAGGAAGGGAGGTAACTTAAGGATATAGGGGTAAGGGAGATAACTCGTATTACCTAGAAAAGAAAGTTTCCCCCAGCTGCCTTCTGAAAGATTGTTAAGGCTTTCTTTTGCGTCTCAGTCAGTCTGTCAGTACTGAATGTCTTACAAACTCGACCATTATCAACAGGACTGAGCGCCATATTGTTCGAAAATCGCATCCTTATTGCTACCAAGTAGCAGTCAGTCAAATGGAAATCAAGGGCGGGTAATTTGAGATTGTGAGAACCACGGGGATGGATTCAGGGTCGGTGAAAGTTTATGGAAATATGAACCCGGGGTTATAGATGTGACACGTCATGTCCAGTCATAACTGCCACTGTTCCAGGAGTGACGCTGAGTACAAGTTCCGACCTCGTAAACTCCGGAGATGTATCAACGACGCCTTGAAGACACCACTGCCTGTGGAAGGCACAAAGTGAGTACATTTTACTGTGTAAGTCAATGATTTTAGTACTTAATATTCCAGGTTCAGAGACCTGCAAATATTCGTGCTGAACCAAGCAACAACCAGTGTTTGAAAGTATGAGTAATGGCTTCGGTCCCGACCCTCAAAGCGTTCGTAACGTTACGACCTATCGTAACGCTATACTTACGCATAGGCTTACGAATGACATGGTGCTACGAACGTTTTGTGGATCGGGCCCCTGGCTCGTAATCGCGGTAACCTGCCAATAGATATGAACAGCCCAGGGGCCTGTTTCACAAAACGATCGTAGCGCTACGACTGTCGTAAACATATTGTAAAGCATGGGAGTTACGGTCACCTTAGCGCTACGTTGTTGCAATTTGTTTACGTTCTCCCTGGAATTTGTAATCCCATTATACTTATAATTATGACGTCATTTCCAATGTATATGAAGTCATGGAGGAGTCATGCGTCTCTGAAACATTTACTCTCTATATTCAAAAATAAATAGTTATATGTAAACATACAAGTAACTATGGCAATACGTTGTTGCAATTTGTTTACGTTCTCGCTGGAATTTGTAATCCCATTATACTGATAATTATGATCATTTCCAGTGTATATGACGTCATGGAGTCATGCATCTCTGAAACATTTACTCTCTAAATTAAAAAAATAAATAGCTATATACTTCCTGGTATATTCAATGTACTGTTTTCGTAGTGAGACAGAAACCTGCATGAATGACGATATGGCCCGAGTCCCGGTCACCACACGGGAAAGACTTCTTCGAAGGGAAAATATCTTCATTGAAATGGAAACGTAAGTATCTTGCTTGTGATAGGTAAAATTATGTCAATCATGAAACATGGTGTAAATCAGAATACAAACGAAATGCATACGGGTCTGGTTATCTGGATATTTATAGACGCTATAAGCTTATGGAAATATGGTTCTACAAAGTAAACAGATCACCCTTACCCTACATGGCGTCAGTTGGCCTCGTTCACGCTGATCTCATATATCTCCACTCATCGCAACATGGCTGCAATATTGCTGATGCGACGAAATACTTTAACTCACTCACTCACTCTAGATATCCAGGCCGTCCTTGTAGAAAACTACCTCAGCGCTACGACAGTCGTAAGTCTATGTTAAGGTATGGTGGCTACGATCACCTTAGTGCTAAGATCTCTAAACAAAGCGGAACCCTTGTAAACACGGACTTGATACTTGTGAGGGCATCAGTTTTTTTAATGTGTTCTTGATTCTCATTAACTGTAATTCTTACTACAATTTCTCGCGTTCTTTTTGACTTTTGGCAGCAACTCATTAAAACATTTTAGATAGATAAACATTTTATATGACGAGGCGGTACGGTTTAGGTTCGGGTCGGCGGTGTTGGAATGAAAAAAAGGGGGGTCGGCAATAAAATTAGAAGGGTCGGTCGGGCGATGAGAAACACAAAAAATAAAAAGCTGCCCTGATAGGAATGTTATATGAAGCGGTACATAACGGGCTGGATCATGGCATTGTTGTCATTGTGTTTGCTTTGTGCAGGTTCAACAATTGCCTGTGCGACGTCCACTCCCCCAGCAACTTCTGCTTGTTCAACCTCCTGATCGTGCAGCAGAACGAGACGGTACTGGAGACCTGTCTAGGGAAGAGGGAGTTCAACGCTCACCTGTATCACCCAACACGAAACGCAAGTGAGTTCGAAAAATTATCTTTTCTCCAAAATTGTCAGAAAAGACACCTAAACTTTTGAAATATGTGGGTTTTTTTCCTTTATGGTATTTAAATTTAGTTGATTAATTAGTGCCTAGTTCATGTTGTCCATGAATTTATCAGTCCAAAATCGATGTGGTTGTTGATTAACAGACGAGTTTTTTTCTGTTTAAATGGCACACAGGCAGACAATCGATGATCTTACCGTGATTCCCCTCTTGTAGATTTCACCTGTGACATGAAGCGGTCCGGACGAACAGAGTCGCGTGTAGACGAAATGATGTCCCTGTATGTGTATGTTGCGTATGCCCCCGCTGGGAAACAAGGTAGGTGCAGGTGATCCCCTGACTAACATAATGTTGGAACAGGGTTTCTGCATGTTGCTGTATGTGTATGTTGCTGTATGTGTATGTTGCTGTATGTGTATGCTGCTGTATGTGTATGCTGGCCAAGTACAGACGTTACTAACAATAACGCACATACTTTAGACCTATAATCACTATGTTCCCTTCATGGAAGACTGTAAAACTGGATACCTCTTTAGAAGTATGTTGTACGATATGTACTGATTTGACTTTCCATTCAGATTTCAGTATGTGTTAAACTGCCTCGGCGAACACTTTCCTGACTTCAGCTGTAAGTAATTAATATAACAGTGACATGTCTGTAAATACTGTATTGTATAACCCTCATCCATCCATCCATCGATCCATCCATCCATCTCAAGTTTTATCCCTTTTGTTGCGTTGAAACCAATATGTGAGGTAACAGTAAACGTGATATATTGTGCTGTGAATATTCAATACATTCACCTGACGAAGGGGCAAGGAAAAGCCCAGAAACGTTGTGTATAGAATAAACAAGAAGTTGACATCCATAATATTTTGTCTTATACTTGAATACCAACTTCTATATGCCTCTCAAGAACCTCACTGCAGGTGTTTTGAATGCCATCTTCTGTTATATGAAAGTCGAGTTTGTTGCGATTTTGACATACTTTCATCTGCATTTCAGGCCCAGTCACGACGGCAGCCCCTCCAGGTTTGACGACGGCGGCGCCGATGACAGAGTCCCGGGTTGCCATGCTGGTGATGGCCCTCCTCATCAGCCTCCTCCTGGGCGTGCTGGGGACGTGGCTCGGCATCTTCTGTTGGAGGAGGAGGGGCAAGAGGAGACGCATCAACAGGTGAGAACCATCCCAAGGAGGAGTGAATAGTTGGTGTAGAGGCTGCCACGGAGGAGTGAATAGGTGACTAGTTGGTGTAGAGGCTGGCACGGAGGAGTGACTAGTTGGTGTAGAGGCTGGCACGGAGGAGTGAATAGTTGGTGTAGAGGCTGGCACGGAGGAGTGACTAGTTGGTGTAGAGGCTGGCACGGAGGAGTGAATAGGTGACTAGTTGGTGTAGAGGCTGGCACGGAGGAGTGAATAGTTGGTGTAGAGGCTGGCACGGAGGAGTGAATAGGTGACTAGTTGGTGTAGAGGCTGGCACGGAGGAGTGAATAGTTGGTGTAGAGGCTGCCACGGAGGAGTGACTAGTTGGTGTAGAGGCTGGCACGGAGGAGTGAATAGTTGGTGTAGAGGCTGGCACGGAGGAGTGACTAGTTGGTGTAGAGGCTGGCACGGAGCAGTGACTAGTTGGTGTAGAGGCTGGCACGGAGCAGTGACTAGTTGGTGTAGAGGCTGGCACGGAGCAGTGACTAGTTGGTGTAGAGGCTGGCACGGAGGAGTGAATAGTTGGTGTAGAGGCTGGCACGGAGGAGTGACTAGTTGGTGTAGAGGCTGGCACGGAGCAGTGACTAGTTGGTGTAGAGGCTGCCACGGAGGAGTGACTAGTTGGTGTAGAGGCTGGCACGGAGCAGTGACTAGTTGGTGTAGAGGCTGGCACGGAGGAGTGACTAGTTGGTGTAGAGGCTGGCACGGAGGAGTGACTAGTTGGTGTAGAGGCTGGCACGGAGGAGTGAATAGTTGGTGTAGAGGCTGGCACGGAGGAGTGAATAGTTGGTGTAGAGGCTGGCACGGAGGAGTGAATAGTTGGTGTAGAGGCTGGCACGGAGGAGTGACTAGTTGGTGTAGAGGCTGGCACGGAGGAGTGACTAGTTGGTGTAGAGGCTGGCACGGAGCAGTGACTAGTTGGTGTAGAGGCTGGCACGGAGGAGTGACTAGTTGGTGTAGAGGCTGGCACGACTACCTCAGCGGATAAGTTGCGGTTCTTACGTGTTTATGGTTGAAATTGAATGGCTTGATCAAATCTCACCATATCATCTGAATCATATAAGACCCGAATACTTAGCAAGTTCCAAGTCAGCTCAAACATAATGGGACCTGAACATTTAGCTTGACTCAACTGACCGAATACTGAGTTTAACCCAATTTCACTTATCAGCTGAATCATTGCTTTACACAGTTTTCCTGCCCCAGAACTGGACGTTTAGGCAAAACAATGTTGTATGGATTATGACTGTGTGAGAAAGTCATTTTTCACCTTGTCGTGTTAATATCATGGCAGATGCCTCAATATGAGTTTATTTTTATGTACATATTCCAGGCCGCTTCCCCCTCTAATGCCCCGCCCCGAACACTCCAGCCTGCCCAACCTATACGACGAGGACTACACCGAGGAAAATATCTACGATGTCGTCAAAGCTGTGGTAAGACACTTAAGAGGTCACGGTCATCACCGATTAAACCACATTCCAGATGTTATTAGGCTGTTTTTGAAAAATAGTATAGTCCACATGCCGCTGTTTAGCGAAAAGGGAGGCAACTTCGTCAGGATTAAAGAGCCCACTGACAAGGACTAACGATACTGAAGCTGAATTAAACTAAAACTGCTAACGCGTCTATTTATATGTGTTATATATAAACAATATATAAACGTATTTTGCCAGTGTTTTGTATGTGGTGTAGTTTAAACATGACCTATATGAACAAACGCTTCATACATTTAAATGGTTACATCATTTTTGCAGGATGAGTCGCCAACGTCCCACCCAGTGCCTGATCTGCTGAGTCGAGTTCCATCCCTCCCACCCGTCACGCCTAGACCCGCGTTAGACCTCAACAAGGACAATAGGAATTCCAACCATACTGAATTCTATGAACCTTTGTTGCGAGGTCACAGCACATCTCAAATTAGCGATCACACGTCACCTAAGATCCCCGTTTCAACTGAGGACACTGGGGGTGAAGATTATCTGCCTTTGTTACCTGACAGAAACAGTCGGGAAATACCGGAAACGGAGACAGTCAAACGATTTCATCCTTACGACACCCCAGATGAGTCATTCATTGAAACAGAAGCAGAGGATGCATCCATTACTGTTCCGAAGGTCGTGGAAGACCAGGATAGTAAACCCTCCGAAACAAAACCAGAGTACTATATCCTGGAGCCACCCGGCGGAGACACTCGCGGCGCTAGTCAGAATCAGGAGGACGCAACTCCAGTAACCCAAGAGGGGGTAACTCCTGGTACAAATATGGAAACATCTGAAAGGATTGCGTCAAAAGAAGATACAGTAGCATCTGAACGTGAATCTGATTCGGACGGATATGAAATACCAGTGTCTGAGGAGGTGCCAGCTTTTGACATTGCCTCTTCTTTCAGGAAGGGACCAAAGAGTGAAGTAGTGCACGATATGAATAAGGACGATGTTCTTGATGTGTGATACAACAACGCCGCGCATCAGTCGGACATCATGGTGTAAATAGTGGTGATGACCCTTTCTTCAACACACCAAAGTCTGAAGACGTTTTCGGGTATTACCTGACATGATAGCACTGGAATATTGCCACATATGTTCACTCACTCGCTCACTGCATCAAAGATTCACCTCTTTCCTGCCTTGTTGCTTCAATTCCCATTTTCTCAGGACTTCAAAGATGTTCAGACGCCGTCATATAGCTGGAATATTGCTGGGTGCGGCGTAAAACTGAACTCACTCGCTATGTTCAGACGAGACATTTACTTGTGTATGTGTATTGTTGACTGTGTGTGTGTGGTGTCTCAAGTTGTGATGTGTATAGAACTGTACAGAATTGTACAGAATGTTTGTATGTTCGTGTGTAAATATGTTAAGCAGTAGTTAACGAGCTGATGATAATCATACATGGTCAGGAATATGCAGAAAATCGAAATGTTTCCCCACACGTTGGCGCCATTTGTATGATTTTTGTTTTCGTCTTGGAATGTAAGTTTTTTTATTATTATTATTTATGATTGATTTGCGTCCTGTATTTCATGAAAGCTCATGTCTTTAGTCTGGCATCATCGTTTTTTATGGATCCGTAAATAAAGTGTGGATGATTTTTATGTCCTGTTTTGTTGTGATGTTGCCAGTAGTGAGTGTGGCACTGTTAGGTTTACACAGGAAGGGCAGTTGCGGCACATGGTTGAAATCATATGTTTAAAAACAGTTCCTGGTCTGGTGCTCTAAATGTCAACCAAAGGCTAACTGTGATAGCAAACTGTGATAGCATTACAGGCTAGTTCTGGTCCTGTCGTAGTGGACCAATATAGCAATAGTTTAGACAGTGTCGATCATCAGATGTAACAGTCTTTACCAGGAACTGATTTATAGTCATTGATGTGCTGCTATCTTTATCAAACGGCAATGCAACAACACATTTCCAAGATCTGGGTTAGAATTCAGTAACCCATGCTTGTTGTAAGAGGCGACTAACGGGATCGGGTGGTCAGGTTCGCTGACTTGGTTGACACGTGCCATCATATCCCAATTGTTCATGTTGCTGATCACTGGATTGTCTGGTCCAGACTCGATCCCGCCGCCACATAGCTGGAATATTGCTGAGTGCGGGGTAAAACTAGACTCACCCGCTCACTCCGAGATATGAAGTTTGGCGTATAACGACTTTCACTGTGATAAGTATCCCTGATTTCCACGGAGCAGGTGTAGAATTCGTAGAACAGATCCCCGTTCAATAGGGTGCACATGGCGTAACGATGATCGCAGGTTAATGTTGAAGTATGGATCACTACAGTGTGGAATCGCTTTGTGGAATACGGCCTAAGTGCATCATCCGAGGATTGTTGTGAGAGGTTACTGGTGAAGATATGGTGGTCATTGCTTGAGTGAGTGAGTGAGTGAGTGAGTGAGGTTCGCTTTTTCACCGCACTCAGCAATATTCCAGCTATATGGCGGCGGTCTGTAAATAATCGAGCCTGGACCAGACAATCCAGTGATCTACAGCATGAGCATCGATCTGCGCAATTAGGAACCGATGACATGTGTCAACCAAGTCAGCGAGCCTGAAAACCGATCCCGTTAGTCGCCTCTTACCACAAGCATGGGTTACTGAAGGTTCATTCTAACCCGGACCTTCACGGATCTCATTGCTTGAAGCTGACCACTGTGCCCTGTCAACCTGCGATATATGGACAAGTGCAGGTTATCGAACTATTGCGTTTTATATCCTTGAAAAACCCATCTCACTCACTCACACCACGGTGCTTTGTAGTGGTCGTGCATTTACTAAATGTGTCTAGATTACACCAGAACACTCAGCCTTACCCCCACATGGCTCTGTGTTGCACTCGTGCATCTCCCTGTTCTGTGTGGCTTCCCCCTCACAGTCTCTACCCCCGTGCATGGGGGTGGAGCAGGAGCGTGACCTCGTGAAGTTAGTCTGGCCTCCACCGCACAGGACGGGGCACTCGGTCACTGGTGTCCAGTCTTCCCAATCAGTCCACTGACCGTCGACTAAAATATCGGCATGATACACCATAATGACAATAGTAAGTGTTTAGAGATATTGTCGGCATGACACGGAATTCATCATTAAGCTGCTAATATGATGAACATTTGTATCAGATCATAATCCTGCATGATTTAAAAGTGTATTAGTAGCTAACAAGTCGGAGAGAGAGTTGTATATTTACAAAATGAGGAAAGGTCTGGAGAAACAGACGGCCATGTCAGCTGAAGAATGTTATACAGCCTCAAAGAGTTTGTTGCAACACCTGCAACTTGTAGGACGGCATGCATAAGTCGTCACTTCCCTGCATTTGCAGACAGGGTAGGACAGTGGCACTACCACTTCCATCCTGACTTACCACGGCACTGTCGAACTATTAACCCCTGTTTACCCTGCACTGTCGGAGTATCAACCCACTTTACCCCAGCACGGTCGAACTATCAACCAGTTTTAGCCCAGCACTGTCGAACCACCAACACCTGTTTACACCGACACTGTCGAACTATCAGCCCCTGTGTTCACCGGCTCTGTCGAACTATCAACCATTCTTTACCTCAGCACGGCCGAACTATCAACGCTTGTGTTAACCCGGCTTTGTCGAATTATCAGCCCGTGTTTCCACGTCATAACAGGTAGTCCATGGCATAAGATCGCGGAAGAATGTGAAATCTATGTCTGAGTAACTGAAAGTTTTCGCCCCATTCGGCGAACAGATCTGAATCTAACAAAGAAAACAATGAGGAGAATATTTAAGTGTTTATTGAGCGCAGGGGTTCAATCTTGAGGTTTACTCACACACCCTGGTTTCCGCATTGAAGAAGGTGCCGGGTGCACAGACCATGTCGATGATCCTTTCACCTGACAGACACATGAGGTACTTCCTGCTGTCGCTGGGATGACGACTGAGAAGACCCTCGAGTTGCAGGTGTCCTCCACACACACCTCGCCAATGGCGTAGAAGGTGGAGTGATCTGGACACTTCTTCAGGTAGGCTACACTGTCACTGCACTCGTAGAACTTGTGGGGGTCACTGTGAGCTATAGACGTAGGACTGGCATCGCGGCATCTGTCTGCAAGACCGGTATAGCAATAGTTTAGACAGTGTCGATCATCAGATGTAACAGTCTTTACCAGGAACTGATTTATAGTCATTGATGTGCTGCTATCTTTATCAAACGGCAATGCAACAACACATTTCCAAGATCTGGGTTAGAATTCAGTAACCCATGCTTGTTGTAAGAGGCGACTAACGGGATCGGGTGGTCAGGCTCGCTGACTTGGTTGACACGTGCCATCATATCCCAATTGTTCATGTTGCTGATCACTGGATTGTCTGGTCCAGACTCGATCCCGCCGCCACATAGCTGGAATATTGCTTAGTGCGGCGTAAAACTAGACTCACCCACTCACTCTGAGATATGAAGTTTGACTTTCATTGTGATAAGTATCCCTGATACTATTTCTATGGAGCACGTGTAGAATTCGTAGAACAGATCCCCGTTCCATAGGGTGAACATGACGTAACGATGATCGCAGGTTAATGTTGAAGTATGGATCACTACAGTGTGGAATCGCTTTGTGGAATACGGCCTAAGTACATCATCCGAGGATTGTTGTGAGAGGTTACTGGTGAAGATATGGTGGTCATTGCTTGAGTGAGTGAGTGAGTGAGTGAGTGAGGTTCGTTTTACGCCGCACTCAGCAATATTCCAGCTATATGGCGGCGGTCTGTAAATAATCGAGTCTGGACCAGACAATCCAGTCATCAACAGCATGAGCATCGATCTGCGCAATTGGGAACCGATGACATGTGTCAACCAAGTCAGCGAGCCTGAAAACCGATCCCGTTAGTCGCCTCTTACCACAAGCATGGGTTACTGAAGGTTCATTCTAACCCGGACCTTCACGGATCTCATTGCTTGAAGCTGACCACTGTGCCCTGTCAACCTGCGATATATGGACAAGTGCAGGTTATCGAACTATTGCGTTTTATATCCTTGAAAAACCCATCTCACTCACTCACACCACGGTGCTTTGTAGTGGTCGAACATTTACTAAATGTGTCTAGATTACACCAGAACACTCAGCCTTACCCCCACATGGCTCTGTGTTGCACTCGTGCATCTCCCTGTTCTGTGTGGCTTCCCCCTCACAGTCTCTACCCCCGTGCATGGGGGTGGAGCAGGAGCGTGACCTCGTGAAGTTAGTCTGGCCTCCACCGCACAGGACGGGGCACTCGGTCACTGGTGTCCAGTCTTCCCAATCAGTCCACTGACCATCGACTAAAATATCGGCATGATACACCATAATGACAATAGCAAGTGTTTAAAGATATTGTCGGCATGACACGGATTTCATCATTAAGCTGCTAATATGATGAACATTTGTATCAGGTCATAATCCTGCATGATTTAAAAGTGTATTATAAGCTAACAAGTCGGAGAGATAGTGATATATTTACATAATGACACCACCCCGACCCCACCCCACCCCAAAAAAATATTCACTAGCCAGTCGGGCCATTGACTGTGGAGATTTACTGGCACGGTGGATTTTTACTAGCCACAGGTAAGCGGGCCAGTTCGTATACTGCGTTTAATGAGTCGCTTCTCCCACAAGGACAGAACACAGAAATGCAACAAATCAGCGTTAACACAGCATGTATTATAGGGTGTTACCTGGGCATGGAGATTTGCTGCAGGTGAAGGAAAAGGTATATTCGCTTGAGCCATAGCAGCGGGCTCCACCATTAGCTGGGGCTGGGTTGGTGCATGATCTGGTCTTCTTGTAGTGCTGGCGTCCAGTGCCACACGTCACCGAGCACGAAGCCACCACTTGGTAGCTGGACCAGGACGACCAGCCGCCATTTACTGCATTGCGGAACACAGAGTCAAGATCGGAGGATAGAACCACAATCAACGGTAGACGGTATATAGAGCAGCTATATATCAATTACCACTTCTACAATATTAGCATTCTGGCATATGATATCCAAAGATCTCGCAACCAAAGATAACTAAACATATTACAACATACTAGCTAGTAAGGGTACAAGTAACTAGGTTGGTACTACAGCTCACCTCTAGGACAGGGGCCGAAACATGTGTAGTAGCTGGTCCTGCATAACACAAGGAAAAACGAGTTATACGAGGAAATAACTTAATTGTACATGGAATGATAAACCACCTGTATCGGTGTTCCAGTTCACACCGGAAACTGTTCACACTTGGATCTGTGCCCCTTCCACACCTATAGCTGTTCACATACATCTGTCCTCACCTGTATCTGGTGCACCTATGCCTGCTCCAACTCCAACGACTGGTGCTGCAGCTGGTCGTATACCTCGTCCTACTGGAACATGTCTTGCGGCATCTGAAGCACACACACCATATAGGATCACATATCACACATTCACAGCTCGTCACACCACACGATGATCATAGTCGTGTGTAAACATATCGTGAGTGAGGTGGGTTTAATACCCTTTCAACAGTATTCCAAGAAACACACCTCGACACAGCAAGCCCCCCTCCCCGCCCTTGTAGAAATAGTGCAGCTGAATAAAGTTCGAAGCATTTTCAGTTTCACAAAATATGATTTTTTTAAATACCTATGTACGTGAAAATCGGATAAAGCTTCCACTTTAGCCTGCATAAGATGAACCCTGAGTCCGTCACGTTTAGAGGAAACGTGGACAAGTTCTTAAACCAATCAGATGGCAGCTATCTAAAATGCATTATCTTCCAATTATATTTCAATTTCCCCCTAACAAAATTCTGTCGATGTAGATGCCATGGCGCTCAGAAACGATAAGGTGTTCCACATATTAACAGAGTTTACAGCGAGGTATTTTTTATTTTATATTCGGAACTGCACGTTTATGTTCGAGAAAACAGATTTGCAAGTTTTGCTCGCCTGTACCTAAAATGTAAACACCATTAACTGATGAAAACGTTATCTATGCAGCTATTATCATAACCTTCCGCTTAAGTGATTCGGTGTCAAAACTGAGGAACCATGTTGACATGATTTCGAGGGGATCCAACGCCATAACAATAAGGGACAATATCAACAACGTCAGCAAAGTAGTAGCGTCAACGCATTTTGCCTTGATTTATATATACAGTTCTTAGTTATCGAAGAATTCAATAGACAGACCTCATCTCATAATATGTCACAGATGGGTTAACCAGTGATGTAGTTGGTGAAGGACTTACTTCTTTGTGTAGGCGGCTACACAAGCCACTATCAGCAGGAACGCCAGGAACACTTTCAAATTCATGTTGACTGTATGAACGGAGACGTCGGCTGCGTCTGCAGAGAGTGCGGCAACGGTGACATGTTATATACCAGCATCACAGATCTATTCTAATTGCTAAACTGTGTAATACCTGTACTGACTGGATCCGATTAGGTTGTCTGAATTGGCACCCCTTTCATACGTCATATAGCGATTAGGTGAAATGGAACCAAGCTGATGAGAAAGCTGATGATTAAATAGGACAGACCATTTTAAAAATTATTGGGTGGGTGGAAGGATTGTTAGCGGTAAAATATGTTTCTTTGGACACCGTATATGTTAATTTTCTTATTCATAGCACGGTTTATTTAGGACTTTTAGAGAGTGATTATCATATTATTTATATATTCCGTTTCTGTTTTCCAAGACCACTCCGCCACCCCCGACCCTTACCCCGACTTACACACACCGTTGTTCTTCACCAGACACACACTCGATATACCACACCCCATGAATATATAATGGTCAGTCCCTAACGGCTAATCTGATTTTGTGGCACAGTCACTTGTGTGTTCATATATTTATTTAAATTTTGTGTATTGCAGAAGCGTAAATATTGGAAGAAAAGTATTCTTATCATTTGCATGTAATTCTATTGTGATGAGGATAATACCATAAATGCACTCTCTTTTTGTTTACCCTCTTGACACACACGGAATTCCATATCTACTTTAATAAATGGCCTTAATAAACCTTAATGCATTTTTGCATTTTCAGGACTTAAAAAATTATTGAACTCTTGTTTCGCGAACGTTTGCTAAATCAGCGATATTTAAATTAGTCTAAAACAAAGACAATAACCTGAAGGCAAATTCACGCCCTAAGCCTAAGTGTCTTCAAACCATTCATATACTGAACATGATACATCTTAACGTATGGCTGACAAGGCGGCTCAGTACTGAAATGTAGTTTGTATGTGGAGTGGGGTGTGATGTGGCGGGGTGTCGTGTGATGTGGCGTTGTATGGTTGTATGATATGGTGTGGCTTGGCGTGTGATCCGGTGTGTGGTTGTGTGGTCTGGTGTGGTGTGTTCGTGAAGTTTGGTGCGATGTGAGGTGATGTGATCCGCTGTGGGGTGGTGTGTGGTCTGGTGTGGTGTGATTGTGAAGTTTGGTGCGATGTGAGGTGGTGTGATCCTCTGTGGTGTTGTGGCTTGCGTTATGTGGTTGTATGGTCTGGTGTGTTATGATTGTGAGGTATGATCCGCTGTGGGGTGGTGTGGGGTTTGATCGTGAAGTTTGGTGCGATGTGAGGTGGTGTGATCCTCTGTGGCGCGGTGTATGGTCGCGATGTGAGGTGGTGTATGGTCTGATGTAGCGTGGTGTGGATTGTGGGTCGAAGTTTGGTGTCGAGTGAGGTGGTGTGATCCTCTGTGGCGCGGTGTGATCGAGTGTGAGTGGTGTGGTGTGGTTGTGTTGATTGTGGTGTCGTGATTTGTGGTGGGGCGGGTGTGATCCGCTGTGGTATGATCCTGTGGCTGGGTGTGGCGTGTGGCGCGGTGGTGTTGTGGGGCGGGTGTGAGTGGCGTGTTTGTTGTGTGTGGTGGGGCGGGTGTGAGTGGTGTTGTTGTGGGTCGTTATGATTTGTGTTGTGGGGTGTAATTGAGAAGGGTATCAAGGTAGTTTGTAATGTATTTGCAAACGTTTCTTAAATATCAAACTCGAATGTTCACTAACATACACTCGAACACTAACATACATACAAAGCCCCCTTCCTCCAAATGATTGCTTCGTCGATTTTAACAACTCTTCACCTCCAAATTATTTCTCGAGCAGTATATTTAAGGTGACATCTATATTAATACGGAATATAATTAAAACTGTCTGCCTGATGAATCAAAACATCCTTAATTGCCTATTACCTGGGGCTATACCGACACTGTCACCAAACAGGAGTAGTATGTTTGGGGAAATAGTTTTACATTCACACCGACAATGGTTATCTCCCTTTGACTAACGATAGGTTTTTAAAATGACCAATATATAACTGTATTATTCCAGCTGAATAAGCATGCGTCAAATTAACGTGACGTCATGAGTAGTCACCCGAGCGTGTCCGACATAGACAAATAGTCGTTGATGAAGGTGTTGATTAAGGAAATGTGCGTTAGAATATCCAGTGGACAGCAGTCAAACGTGACCACTGCCTGGTCACAGTCGTCTTGGAGGAATGGTATACTTGACCTTGGGTCAGGATGAAATACTGGACACATCTTCTGTGTAAGTAGAGAACTATTATCGCTCGGCGATATATGTTTATATATGTGAAAGAATTGGCTTTATATTTATTTTCATAAATATGTTTCACAAATTACATATGAGTCGATTAAAGTTACAATTTACATCTGTTCTTTTTTTGTACCATCTGTTGAAATTACAAAAACAGTCACTTATCAGTTAACAAAGTTCAATGGACATCTCAAGAATACCCTTCGTTAAAACGCGGACAAGATCTACTGAACGTATTTCGACACTATACACTGTAAATCTGAAGATGTGATTGTTGCTTATATTATCAACCATTGGTTTGTCTCATAATAATTGTATTATTTACAGACTGATGTGGTATTGTTGTAATTTAGCTGCAACGTGAAATACGTCACTGTAAAAACAGCGCACTCGTTTCCTACATCATATATTTTAATACAACACTGAAACTTGTGAACACTGCCTGAATTTTAAACATGTAAAATGTACCTAACGAATATTAAGAAGACGTTTCAACAAAACCTATGAATATGTTTCTCAGTGTCTATCTGGCTGTGATTTATAGTGTGCTACATTTTCCCCCTTGTCATTTCAGTCATCGTGACCACCTGTTGCTATGTCTCCACACAAAATGTTACCACAGAAGGAACAGACACGGTCCCGACTGTATCTATATCAAGAGAACTTCGCCCAGGGTCGTAAGTTATTTAGCATTTTTAGGTGGTTTTTTATAATAACATAAGCTCCTGCGTCTTGTCATATTGTCATATAGTACCACAGGGTAAGTCCTTTTTATCACTACTTTGTGATTTGTAAAAACTTAATTTTTGTGTGTGTAAAATCTTGATATATTCTGAGGCATATGTCTGTATATTGTATTTTATCTGTGATGCATTATATTCATATATGCAATAATTATTATAATCATACCGATATTCCCTTGGGGAAAATGTATATTGTGTATATTTGTTGAAATTGTAGTGTTTACACATAATAACAGAAAGCACTGCACATCACTGCATCAAATCTGAATATATTCTTTAAGGTACTCGTTTATTGTATTTACCTGTAATTACCATCCTTAATAACATGAAAAGGATAAATGACTTCTTTGAGTGGCATTTTAGAAGCTGGGAAGTACAAATTTGACAAACTTTATGGATAACAACTTTTTGCACTCTCGTAATAAAGAAGTTGTTATCCATAAAGTTTGTCAATTTTAATAAGGATAAATGAGAAAGAATATATGAAAGTGAAAACATGTTCAAAATGATACATTTATATATAGTTTGAAAGGTTTTCATTAACATTTACATACGAACGTCGTAACGAGATACTGCTATGCAATAGTTCATGTACATAAGCAGCATCAGTTACACTGAGGAGAAGAGTAATCAATCAACCATGGATAGAATCAATGATATCTATATCATGATCGATGAATGGAATGCGGATGTGTTGACGGCATAGGAAACTATACGACAGATAGAAAGATATTTTATACACACTTCTTTGACAAACTGTAACTCCACGCATAGCCGGGGGCATGTATTACGCATTAATCTATACCCTGGAGACAGGGTCAGACAAGGATATAGTTCACCTTCGCCTTTCTTCCTGTTATCGAGGTACAACACACTTCCTCTTTGTCGTAATGTTATACGAGACGTGCAGCCACACTTAATTAAGGGGCACTTAACTGTCAATAGCTGATAGATGACTCTTGAATTGTAAAGTGTTCAGTGTTGTGTACACTGCTTTAAAATGAAGGCTTCATTCTACGATTTAACTGACGCTACTTAACTAACATATGGCTCAATTTATCTGTCGTTCCTCAGTTTGTTTGTTATGTAGTCACCCCTGTTTACAATAACCTAACGTCAACCTATCCGATAGTATTCACTTTTGTCAGTTATGTTTGAAATATTGTGACAGGCAAGGCACAATAACACAAGGAATCTTAGCTTTGGTTCACTTCAATCATTAAGGTTAGAATTAAGGCTAGCTTGGCCTGACGTTCCCGAAACAGCCGCATCTATGTTTTAATATCGTTATGTCAACATCAGCGTTAACGTCGACATCGTAAGGCTGTATGACTTCTGAAACCTTTGAAAACAACGATCTGCTGTTAACACAGAACAGTTTAGAATTGGTTTCTTTCTGGCACAAATTATAAGCGCTGATTTTTTAGCTTGATTTACATAAAGGTCAAATGTAATTTCTAAGCTCGATCGGTTACGAACCTATCGCTAACTTCCATCACATTATAATCTTGTAAATCAAAGTATAACGGCTCTAATTAATTAATCTCGGGTAAATCTCGGGCACAACATTATGGATTGATCAGGGTAGTTTCCTCTTCCTCGTTTTTTCGTGACACTGCAGAGTAAACGACTCACATACTGATGTGTTAAGGGTATTCCTGAGATCCTGACATTCCTTACGAATGTAATGACTCATTGCTTAAACAAATAAAGAATTTATAATACTACATATTCCATACATGTGAGTAGTGTGGTAACTCTAAAGTAATTAAGTCAAAAGGTCACACCAGGATCGATAACATGGTCTCGGGCGTATCCCGACTCACCCATCCCGACATTCCTCCCAACGTATCTGGTCAGTTAGCCTGCATCAGACGAATGGCAAGCAATATAAAACCACGAAAGCATAACGCTTTATAGGTAGCATCAGACCCACACATACTTCCATGAAATATGATAAGTGATTCAGCAATATTCTTAGAACCAATTACACCACTATATCATTGTTCACTTAAAATAGCTTTGGTCTCCCCGTTCCTGGGATCGTTGGAATTCTGACAGCAACTACAACTTCTTCACCATCAACAACGACGACAGGTAGACAATGTCCCCCGGGTGAGAGATGGAACCGACCCAGGACAAGAAGGTAAGGCTTCAGATTCCAATCTGGACACCAAACAAGCCATCTACATATATACCACGAACCTTGGTAATGTTTTAACCAGACACTGAACTCCTACTGGTTTCAACTCCATACTTACCCGTGAAGATCCGGGTTAGAATTGGTCTTCAGCAACCCATGCTTGTTAGAGGAGGCGACCAACGGGATTAAATGGTCAGGCGCATTTGGTTGGCACATGTCCCAATTGCATAGATCGATGTTCATGCTGTTGATCAATGGATTGTCTGGTCCAGATTCGATTATTTGCAGACCGCCACCATGTAGCTGGAATATTGTTGAGTCCGGCATCAAACAGCAAACAAACTATTCGATGCTGTAACTTCATGAACTCCCCTGGGCCACATCAGCGTCTATTATTGTTCTCCCTTTGTGTTCTAACATTTGTCCGTCCCACCGTCAGCTTCCTGGAGTGTCTGTGTGAGCGGGGAGGACCTGACCATCAGCCATGTATCCTGAGACTTAGCAACGTCCTGGGCGCCTTTTCCGGAAGGGTCATACCGGCCATTCTGCCTCGACTGACCGGCACTGATGTCGGCTTCCTCTATCTCTGGACATTTGAGGGTCAGTCAGCATGCGATCCAAGTTTTTTTTCCAACAGAAAAGTATCACTTGGGTCTAGATCCACATATTTTGTCACAATTCTAACGTCAAATAAAAGTCTTCATTAAGGATATTTTATTTTGTTACACAAAGCTGCAAAAATGATACTTCACAAGGAAAGTTTATCAAATGCCTTCTGACAATTACTGAAGTCACATATAAGTGAGTGATCAGGCTCTTTGACTTGTTTGATTGTTTGATTGTGTATCATTGAACCCGAACCCTGAACTGTTGTTCATAATATCAGTCCCTAGGTTAACACAGACTTGATCATGTAGCACAAGGTGTATTATTGCCGGAACGGTGAAGGAAACAACAAACAAACCATATTAATGAGCTTCAGACGTACAGTCGGCTAGGTTTCCGTATTACCTCATGCGATCGGAGAGATTCGGGTTAGAATTGATCTTCATGCAGCTACCCATGCTTGTCGGAAGAGGCGAATAATGGTATCAGGTGGTCAGGCTCCCTGACTTGGTTGACACATGTCATCGTATCCCAGTTGTGTAGATCGATGCTCATTGGATTGTCTGGTCCAGACTCGATTATGTTAAGACTGCCGCCATGGCTGGAACATTGCTAAGTACGGCGTTAAACAACAAACAAACAAAACCAATTCTGGATGCCTGAGGTGTGCCGGAATGTCTTCCTTAGTGACGGTTTCTAAGTTTGTTGCTGTCATTTTTAGCCCACGCAAGTCATTGTGATGTACGTTTCGTCAGAAAAATGGCATTTTCGGTCAAGAAAGGTAGTAAAAATAATTGAATGTTTCTTGATATGTGCCTGTTGTGTAATTGCCTCACACCAATATGGAACGTATACCGTCTTGTCTACTTTCAATGTTGATGCCTGATTGTGTATTGATACTATAATCATTGTAATCATATTACACCACACAGATGCATGCGGGGTTATTTTCTGCTGACTTCCAAGTTTACGTCCCCTTGTTGCCAAACAAACATGCTGAACATTGCGGCCCTTAGAAACATCAAACAAATATGGCCGACAGGTATCCGGATTAATACAAGCATGCAGTCAGTCGAGGAATTGCCATTAAATTCACTTCTGTTTTTTCCTTTTATTCCAGGATTTCAGTGTAACCCCTTCATGGGGATGGGTGGTTTGAGTATTGCGTGTTACCATGACATCGGGAATTCCCCTTTCTCCAGAGACTGTCGGTGAGCATTCGCTAGCAGACTTTCATAACAACCTTATGTTTCACTCGGTTCCCATCCGACTCCAGCCAAGGTTACCATAGTCGTGGAAAGGATCGATATAAAAAAAATGAGATTTTACAACAAATCTTACGTTCAAAGTCTAATAACTATGTTAATTTGTGTCAGAGGGGACAGAATACATTCTATCATAAAAAAAACTCGCAAGTGAAGACCGAGATATTCCGAACGAATGTTACATCTATTATTCATAATGTTCGTGAATATAGATGTTGTTACTTAGCACAACTGCACAGGAGCAGTACCATGAATTACGTTTGACAGTATATTCAAAATAATGAAAATATATTTTATATAACTTTTATTTCCACCTAATCATTTCGACAGACAATGGTTCCCTGTTTACATATATTTTATATTCCGATTATATCGAAGACGTGCCACTAACTACTTTCACTGTTTGTGTAGTTTTAGCAGGTCTCGCTATTTCTGTGAGTTGCTGATGTGCGTCGACACCATCCTCGCCGACACGAGAAGCGCCCCGCAAGACTTCCTCAACTGTGAGAATCAGTCCTGAACTGTGTATTGTTACTAATTTAACATGCTAAAATAACTGTGACACATTCACGTTCACGTCAGTACAAATGAAGAACGATATCCTATGAATTCCCTGGTAGAAAACCTGATGTGTTGTTATCTGAGGAGTATTAAAATGATTCCTTTATTCAGGCGTACGGAGGATAGCTGTACCCGCCCAGAACAGCCCAGTCTACACATGGCCTCATACCCGGATAACCCACCCACCGATCATCATCACCCACCGCACAACCACCACAGACGAGCCGGCTGTGACGTCATCATTACGTCACGATGACGCCGACCACGCCGATCACCTTGAATTCGACCAGGACGAGCATGGGGCGCTAGGCGATGAACACTACAAATATGGTAGGACATTACTGTCTGAGGGGGGCGGGGCGGTGGGGTAGCCTAGTGGTTAAAGCGTTTGCTCGTCACGTTGAAGACCCGGGTACGGTTCCCCACATGGGTACAATATGTGAAGCCCATTTCTGGTGTCCCCCGCCGTGATATTGCTGCAATATTGCTAAAAGCGGCGTAAAACCATACTCACTCACTCACTATAGTTGTGGACTATCTCCCCGACGTCAGTATATTTGGACATACACATGTAGACTGTAATTCCTCGTAAACTTTTCTCATCTTCCTGTCAAACTTTCAATTCCCAAACCCTAGAAACGAGTAAGTTGAGGGCTTTTATCATTAGCTATCAGTTAGGTGAGGTGAAATTGGGTTTTACGTCGTACTTGAGAATATTTCGCTCATATGACGACGTGCATGCGTGTGTATGTGTATGTGCGGCTGCTTGTACTAGCCCAGACTGAAGCTGGTTTTATAGTGCTAGCCCACTGAGATACCATGCCGCAGTGAAGCATGAATACCCCACTCAGACACATTATACTGACTCCGCGAGCCGACCAGTCCTTGTTGTACCCATTAATGCCGAGCGCCAGGCAGGGACCAACAAGTACCATATTTTAACGTCTTTTGGTATGACGCGGTCTGGGATCGAACCCACGACCTTCCGCTCTCCGGGCGGACGCTCTAACCACTACACAACGGAGGCGGTCAAGCTATCAGTGAGTGAGTGAGTTTTCACCGTATGTACAGTAAGACCGACGTGTACGGTATGTGCAGTTACATCAGGGCGGGCGGGCTTGTGTGGGAGGAATGATACAGGTCTCAGGGGTTTACCACAGACGCCACGAGCACGAACACTTTACTGGCGTGCCCAAGGGCGGCAACTCAGAGCAGCTTTGGGCCAATGGACCACCCCTGTTTCTTGGTAACCTCTTGGGCAGGGGCGGATACAGCTCTTTAAGAAAGGGGGGGTGCACACTATTGAGAAAAGGAGGGGTGCACACTTCATTTTCACCCGAGTTTCAATGGTCATTTAACAAACTTTCACCACAAAAGAGGGGGTGCGCACCCCTGCACAACCACCACCCCCCCCACCCCACCACCCCTCTGGATCCGCCTATGTTGGGTGATCATAATTTCTTGTGTCTTCCTCAGATATTATTCGAATTGTTGGAGGCGTGTTTGGCGGCGTGATGACCGGCATCTTCATCACCGCTGTCATCTTCATCCTCTGCTGGTTTTCGAAACGGAGAAGGTAGTTTACGTTTTCCAATTTCTCGTATTCGAAAGTGAACAATGCTGCAAAGGCGTTAAAACATGCAACTATTAATATAAAAAAATAACTGACATTTTTGCATTAGATTAAAAAATAATTTACCAAATGTGCATGTGGTAGAGAAAGTGTTTAGCACAGTTCCCATCCAACTTTCAACTGTTTAGTATACAACATGTACAAGTTGTATTACAGGGAGCAATGTCGAGCTGTTACATGTGACACTGGTAAGTGGTAGCAAATACACATACACTGATAATACAATAAACATGCTGCATTTCAGAGAACATTCTTCATCCTCTTCACCTCGGCCCAGGATGTCCGTCCGTACACAAGAGTCTGCAATCTATGCTGAAGTTGACGATACGGTAGGTATCATAGTGGGGCGGAAACCTGAGAAGGAATCGGACTTGAGTGAGTGAGTGAGTTAGTTTTACACCGCACTAAGCAATATTCCAGCTATATGGCGGCCGTCTGTAAATAATCGAGACTGAACCAGAAAATCCAGTGATCAACAGCATCAGCATCAACATCGATGTACGCAGTTGGGATACAATGACATGTGTCAACCAAGTCAGCGAGCCTGACCACCCGATCCTGTTAGTCGCCTCTTACGACAGGCATGGGTTACTGAAGATCAGTTCTAACCCGGATTTCTTCACGAGTCCGGACTTGAGACTCAAGTCAAGAAATGTTAAGGTTTTATTTACTGTATAGGGTGTGGTTTTGAATCAATTACTGCCGAACAAGCGACAGCACTATCCACAAGACTAACCCTGAAGCCTGCTAAAGTGTATGAATAAAATGCAGCTTGCAGTACAAACTGTAGCAAACGCAGCACCTCAGTGAGATATTTAATTGTAAGTATTTATCAAAGCTCCTGAAGAAAGTATACGTTTTCATATGCTTGACTTTCACACTGGATTTTCACACTGACATATTCTTGATTTCCAGGGTTCTGACACAGGTCTCTGTAACGCTGGGTACCTTGCTCGCCATGCCCCTGATATCATCAGCGTCGTTGGCAACAAGTCCGCAGTCGACGACGCCGCATACAATACTCTCAACAACATCAACATATCCCCCGGGGAACGAGGCTACCTGGGGCGCCCCCTGTCGGTAGACAGTCAACAATACTCGACTATAACGGACCAAGACTCGCTGTCCAAACGGTCTTCCCGAAGCAGCGTCTACAACAAGCTTAGAGAGGATGGGAAGACCACCGTCGGCGAGCACGTGTACAACAGAGCACAGTTCCCACCCTATGAGGAGTACCAACCGGCGGCAGAGGGGGTATGAGTGTGTCTCTAAGAAGCAGAACAACTGCGACGGTCCCCAGAAGACTATCATGAAGAAACAACCTTCCACCAGCTCTATAAAGAAGAGGGTGTACTTTACCCTGGAACCGATGGAGTACTTGGGAAAACCGTCAGACAAGATGTAACGGTTCTTTGAAGCGAAACTGACACAACGTCACTGAATGTTAAAACCTAGGCAATACTTTGCTTGTCAATAACGTAGCGAATCATTTAATATATGGAAAGACGGTTTATACTTACTTGAGTTTCCTTTCGTTTAGACACTCCTTCGATGAAGTTACAGAGTCTTAAACAAGAAACACGTTACTTGTATATCTTGCATCTAAATGTAATGAAAATTACAATTGTCCAATTGTTTATTCAGTGTGACAATGCACATCCACTAATATCATTCCAGTGGGCCCACAAACAATATATTCGTTGTCTAACTATTATAGGCATGAGATTATGGTCTTTATTACAATAAGAGATATATTACTAATATTACGATGACAGATTAGGGGGTAGAAGATATACTAGGAGAGTTTTAATAAAATATCTTAAATATTTTATTAAAACTCTCACAATTTGTATCTTCTGCCCCTTTAATCCCCTGTCATTAATAATCTTGTTTTAATAAAATATCTTAAATATTTTATTAAAACTCTCACAATTTGTATCTTCTGCCCCCTTAATCCCCTGTCATTAATAATGTTAATTGTATATCTAATTGTGTCGCCTCTCACTCGTTTTGAAATGCCTGTTTTCATATGTTTATAACATTGGGGATCCGCGGAATTCAAATATTAAACGATCAGGCGGAATTATTAAACGTTCAGGAAAAAAATTAAGGAGAGGCGTCTTTTCTTGGCAGCCAGCCATTCTTTTTACGCCCAGCCCCCCTGATTTGTCTGACAGAATAAGGAGGGCCCTAATTGTAGCCGCGAGACCGTCACGCCTAGCCGCGAGAGACCCGTCCCACCCAGAAAATATAGATCAGGCTTTGGATATCGGGGCGGCGGTACTCCTGATGTATGGCCTGTACTTTGGTTTTCCCCTCCTCGTGGGTCTAGGCGTTAAAGCGGCGTTTAGGGACAGGACGTGACCATTTTATTCCAATTGACTCAACTCCATACTGACATGGGTACGGAACTGCGAGGTTACGCGGAAATCCTTTGGCAACTGCTACCTATTCCGAGAACAAGGGTTTGGGAATTCCTCTCTAATCCACCATCGGATGAAGTGGTCACAGGGGTCAGTCGAGCGGCGTCCCGCTTCCATGACAATAGGATGGGATTTTCCTTCAATAAGGAGGCACTGAGGTTTTGCGCCCTTTGTACCAGGAAATATTCCCGATCCGAGATACCCGCAGGAAATTTCTGCCGCCAACATTCTGCAAATGGTGTCGACGTGTTCAACACACAGGGTGTGCGGCCACACTGCTGAAAGTAGCAGGTTCTGATTTCCGCCAGGTGACACGAAATGACATGGCACCAGGGGAGCAAACATGCATATGCCTGGGTATACCCCAAGGCGACGGAATGGACGGGTTGGAGGCCTTTTTGGCTGGGGGTTCCCCACCCCACGTCTCCATGTTGGTTGAATGTCAAACAGTGCCCGGATTGCAAGGTTCCCTATGAGAGCCCGTTCATCGGAGTGTCGGACGGCATGTCGTCCACCCTCCGCAAGCATCCGGCGTTGTTCCCACCCAGCAGCTTTTTAGACCGATATGACGTCATGACGTTAACAAATTACTACCGCCCGAGAAGAGTTAAAGTAGTCCCGGAGGAATCAATGGTCTGTTTTTATTTAGATACAGAGTCAGCATTGCCTGACCTTCCTGAAGGCCTCGTCTACAGTATTAAGAGACGGATGGCCCCTTACCCGGTAGAACAACTGGTCATGAAATTAAAGTTGTTCTACCCCCCTCAAAGCCGGGGCCACTGGGATAATTGTACCTGGAGGTCCTCGGAGATAGATCCTGAGTGGAAACTTTGACACCCAGGGGCCAGTCAATCGGGGATGCTGGGTCAACAAACAAACAAACAAACAAAAAACCCTACCCCACCGCGTCGTCAAGGGAAGCCAAAAATATATCTCTATAATATTATTATTGACATATTAGCCATCTTACATGTATTCCGTCCGGTTCCTTTATATCGTTTTTGTTAAATATAGAAGAGTTGTATTTAAACCATATTGATAATAATAATTTTTGCTCGATGTTGTAACTTATATCTGTATTTGTATGGTTGCGGTTAATCAACCCCATGGTCACAACAAGAACAAGGAAAAATACGAAATTAAAAGGTATCAAAAACAAGTAGCTTGGGTCTCGACGTCATTAGTCCTATAGGAGTGTGGGGACACACTCTTCGTTGGAAGGGGGGTCGTATTATAGGCATGAGATTATGGTCTTTATTACAATAAGAGATATACAATTAACATTATTAATGACAGGGGATTAAGGGGGCAGAAGATACAAATTGTGAGAGTTTTAATAAAATATTTAAGATATGAAGTGATTGGTAACGTTGTAAGGTGGGAGGTAAGGTAGAAAGTCAGTAACGTAGGTAATGAACATGAAAGTAGGTCGCTGGAGCTGGTGAGTGCAGGGTGAAGTGACTCATAGCTTAGATAGAGGAAAAACTACTATACTATCAAGATGGAGCGACGTGGCCGGGGACCTGGCCGGGGACCTGGCCACCAGTTCCTGGTACTCTACGAGCCATATATGGTTAGGGGAGAGAGACCCTGAGATTCCTGGAATCCACCTCACGGTCGTACAAATATGGTAGTGGGGGTACGAAATAGAGGTGGGGGAGAGTAATAGATAGTCAAATTATGGGTTATTGACCAATAGAAAAAATGAAAAGGGTGTTGGCTGTGACGTAGGAACCCAGGTTTAAGCGGGAGCAAAGCTCAGAAACGGGAGTCTGGTGCGGGCCTGCTCTTGCTGTTGGTCACTAGGAACCGTCTGAGAAATTATCTTGAAGCACCAGCATTTTGGCTTAAGACTGAAGCTTTGCGGCTGAAGTCTTATAGAGTGACCATAGAGTAGGTTGACCAGCAACACAGTGTCAATAAAAACTATTGAACGAAGATCATCGTCTTGTGTTTGCTGGATGGACTACGGTAAAGTTCCAAGGGCCCCCGGGTACTGACACTGTACCTCTCGCACATCCCTTATCGTCAGGACCGAAGTACGGGGGTATACCGTAGTCCAGGTAACGACACACCATCCCAGGTGCGGGATACCGACAGGTAAAATACCATCTACCTGCCAGGTAAAGGTGCTAGTCGGAACGCCTTGGACTCCAAGAATATACAAACATGTCTACATTCCCCGATAAAACCCATACCCCGCCAAAGCGCCTACGATACAAGGTGTTGGTCAAGGCTGTGTTTTGTCAGCTTGGTTATTTTCATTGTATATTAATGACCTATTATACGCACTGCAAAGATTACAACACGGTGTAAGTATTCCATGGGGTAATGTGCCAGGTATCTTATTAGCATCTTAATCATAATGCCGACAAAAGTGTATTCTTAACATACATGCCCACCATTTTACATTGGGTAGAAAATTGTAACACTTAAAGATCTTGTCGTGTATGCTGGCTTGTGCATAACCACTGCATCTTCAACTGTAGTGCGTACTCATGTGATAAACTTAGAATGTTAGTCGCTGCAATGGTTTGTTCTTTGACGGTCTAAACTTCATGCATGTCTGCCTGTGGAGTCTGGAACAGATTTATGTCACCATGTGCTCTGTTTGCTTGTGAACTATGGTGTAAACTAACATCTAAATAGTATGAACTACATAAAAAGAGCACAATCTTTCTTCTGTAAACACATCCAGGGGCTCTCTAAATTTTCTTCGACAGTTGTCGCACGAGACTGTTTAAATTTACTATCAGTCCAAGCATACATAGAAAAATCGTTGTCTTGAGTTCCTTGGCAAATTATGTAGAAGTAATTTAAATTTTGTACTCAAGAATGTCTTAGACTATAAACTTAATCAATTCTTATTCATGTTATGACAGAGAAGTACAAAATAACCTATCTACCATATGATACTATTAACATATAAATACGACCTTACAGATGTATACTTGTGTCTGCCAGCTTTCCTTGTAAAGCACAATGCAATGTCCATGTTACGAAAACAATTCATGATGCCAAAATGTTAACGTCAACATAGATAATAGTCAGTGCGAGACCAGAATATACATAGACTATGGCAAATGTCGATTCTACGACCTGATCTATTTCACTGTATTGCAAACTTGGTGCAAATTAGTACTCTGCGTATCCAATCAAAAGAGTGTATATGTGGCACATTTGCCTACGATATTGTCAAGCATGTTTTTATGTACTGCGAGTTGACATGACGTCAGAAGGATCTTCTTATCCAATCAATTATTGACATAGTAGATGTAAATACGTTTTCTAGCCTTTGGAACAATGATGAAGAATTGACTCTATGTTTCTTACTCGGAGGACCTTTATATCCCTTGATGATAATGTATGGCTTGAATGTATGGCCAATGTATACGCAACTGTTAACAACTGGAAACACTTCTTGGTAAATTGTTTGTAGCTATCTGTATTCCCCTGTTTCTGATCTGCATGTAAATATATCATATCACTTGGTATCTTCATTCCCTGGAGAAAATAAGAATATCTATCTATCTATCATCTCCCGTACGTGGGTGGTCTGGGCTCATTGTTGTTTATGCATTCTATGGATGTTGTGATGTTTGAAGTGATTATTGACAAAATGTGGACACTACTTCTCTGAGAGACAACATTTCTTCTCAACCGCCTTGCAAACCGGACAGCAAAGCGTGTCAGCATGTTGTTCCAAATGTACTGTCCCGGGAACATTCCTGGCACAGCATGGAGTATGCGCCAGTCATAGTTATGCACCTAACACCATATCCGACCACCGCGAAATTTGTCTCAGGTCTCAGGCTGACAATAGTTGATGTTATTCACGACCACGCCTATCAAGGAAGTGCAAACTGAATCGGGGCTCATATGGGGACATGAGTCGTGACCACTGAAGATGACGCCAGTGATGTCTGTGAACACAATGACGATTTGTAAGGGCGTCACAACAGACGCCTATCGAGCATGCAGATGAGCTGCATGTAGGCGATTTCTCATCATCTGCCTCGTAACTTGTACTCCATCAACCTTATGGCACTTTGAATCTCGATTTCGTCAAACCTGGATTCGGATAATCGATCCTGTGCTCTGTCGTTGTTCTTGAAATCTAAATTCAATTGACTCAAAACTGTATGATAAGTGGAATCCATAAACTGACAGAAATTGTGGCCTACAGAGTTCAACCGGTCTTCCTGAAAGTGTAAAAAAAATGATACCTTACCGTGTATCTTGGGTATCAAACTTGGGGATGTGTTTTTGTATTATAGACATGTGTTCTTGTATATGATGTTTATTGTCAACATGTCGTAATACTTGGTATTTATAGTCCCAGTACAACATATCACCAGTCGTGTCGGTGACTAGGAAAGTATTGAAGGACCAGGACATGTTTTGTATGTGGTCTCAAGTAACATCCAGCGACTATGAATGTAGCCCAGTCATATTCAATTTAATCAGAGCGTATCTCACAGTGTAAACAAAACATGTACCTGAGGTAAGGAGATACTTCCCTGCCTCATGTGTGGGAGTATTGCCCACTCAACGTATAGTCATGCCGATCCACATCAGCTAATATGAGCTGAATTTCAGGATGTATACATATGTGGATATTGTTCAAGGAACGTGCAGAAAATCTATTCCTGTCCACTAAGTTGAGGTGAGTTCAACATACGAGAATTCTGTAACCATCGTTCATTTCTTACAGCTGTAGAGGAAAGGTTATTAGTGTAACTCCTATCCGCTGATTGTACACTTGGGCAGATGTACTACTTTCAGTCTGCGTATATGAGACTTGTTAAGAACACCACACGGTTGGATCATGATCATGTTTTGCCAGTAAAAGCTGATACTTCTACAGATAATGAAAGAATATATAAAACGTTATTAGAATACCCTATCGTACATCCTGCATGGGTTACAACCTTAAGGAGTCATAGCTGGATTACCAGGGCGATGAATTAGTGAGGTTCTCTTGAAATTACTACGACGTAACTAGTTTAGACCATTGTGATGACGTCATTCTATTGATTCTGAATCAGAAATTCACTAGCCTCCCTAGTTCCAAAATCAGCAGATTCTCATGATTTCCCAGTGCGTCCCACGTTGTTATTGTAGTGTTCACATAGACGAGTAAACAGGACCTAACAGAGATGATTGTTCCTGAAACAGAACAGGATCATAAAGAAGGAAGATACTTGTAACGTCAAAATACGTGAATATACGACACCGTGACATGTTATGTCATGCTTGAGAGTGAATGAGTGAGTTAGAATTTAAATCACAGCGGCAGTATTTCAGCCATGTGGTGACTAAGAAAGTTGTACATATATAAATGAATAAAAAGAAAGTTAGCAAATATACTTACCTGTCTGCAAAGAACAGTAAAACAACTAGATTATCATAGAAATACATTTAAAACTAGTAATTAAATCTAAAATACTTTAACTATAAATGACAAGACAATATAAAAACAGGCTATAGATCGCCAACAACTGAAGGTAGATCACCATGCTAGGGTTCATGCTTGAGAGCAGACAGGATGGAGTATTGTGTCGACGGGTTCTCAGAGTCAACTGTTCAGTATTCGATCAGCCATCAAGACTGATATCAGCATACGAAATTTAATTTAACCTTTCAGAATGTCACATTGGTCAGTAAGTGTCGTGGATGTGCACCTCTCAAATAAATGTCTGTTCGACTTGACGACGGGCAGAATATGAGACGTCTGAACAAATATTCTGAAATGGGATTCAACACTAACTAGTTCGTGCTAACTGTCCCTTGTTATAAGGGAGAGCTGGTCGTACTGTAAGGTCAAGGTCACGATGGTCCCATAAGTATCCTGTAGTTGATAAATCTGGTGATTGTGCTGGCTAAGTTAAGATGTTTAGTTATTGTTCAGGATAAAATATCTCAGAGGACAACTTGTGTCGGGCATGTGTCGTTATTGCGATCCGGAGGTTGTACAACTGGCTGGGGACCTTTTCAATTCATCCATTAACATCTTACAAAATCAACAGGTCTGCAAGTCAAGGCAGATCAGTCCCCAAACGGGGAGACATGACCCCTTCCATCTGCTCTGAAAAACCTGGTCTCAGCCCTCGTCTGTCAACATTAATCTTTGTCGGTTTCTTTTCTGACAGTGATGAAGTTTCCGAGCCCTCTTATGTCGGTGTTCCGGTTCCAGTGTAAACTAATGTGTCTGTAAGAGGTCATATTGAAATACAATGTTCTGGACACTCTCCAGGAACTGACTGACAGGATGCCAAAATGGGAGGCGCCCCTAATGACGTCACCGTGAAATCTGCTTCCCCAGGATACGTAAGGAGCGGCATTCCTGGAGGAAAGATGAAACAGGAGGTCTGATACTCTTTGGCCTGTCTCATGTCCGCCAATAATGGGCCAGCATGTTGCTTATCACTGCCTAACTGGTTTTGTGTTAATGATAATAATGAAATTTTTCGTATGTGTTGGCGATTCATTCCAAACTTTCCTTAAATTAGGACTTCGTTTGCTCAGTTTATCGGATTATATATGAAAAACTGATCTACAAGTTCTGGCTCTCCCTAACACACTTTTTATAAAAGTAAAGCAATAAATAGGCTGTCTTTTTTCTTACGAATCACCTGTCAGTACCACTGAAGTTACTCTCCTCTGCAATCGACAAAATACGGACGCGTAAGCAAACACGTTATGCATGTCCGTTCTCAGCCTGTTGGTAAAAGGCTATATTGTTCTTACTCGCTTACAAGTGAATGAGTGAGTGAGTATGGTTTTACGCCGCATTTAGCAATAGTCCAGCAATATCCTGGGGACACCAGGAATAGGCTTCACACATCGTACCTATGTAGCGCATCGAACATGGGTCTTCGGCGTGACAAACGAACGCTTTAACCTTTACACTACCCTGCCGCCCCTATTTACCTACAAAAGTATGTTTCATTCATTGTTGGTTTGTTTGTTGTTTAACGCCGCACTCAGCAATATTCCAGCCATTTGGCGGCGGTCTGTAAATAATCGAGTCTGGACCAGACCACCCGATCCCGTATTTGCCGTTCACAACAGACCCGTGAAGGTCCGGGTTAGAATTGATCTTCAGTAACCCATGCTTGTCGTAAGAGGCGACTAACGGGTGGTCAGGCTCGCTGACTTGGTTGACACATGTCATCGTGTCCCAATTGCGTAGATCGTTGTTCATGCTGTTGATCCCTGTATTGTCTGGTCCAGACTCGATTATTTTACAGCCACATAACTGGAATATTGCCGAATGTGGCGTAAAACTAATCTCACTCACTCACTCACCTTTTACGACAAACGTGGTTTGGTGAAGTCAAACTCTAACCCGGATCTTCACGGGTTCGTTTCATTGATACATTGCGTGTTATCATTACAGATTTCCAGTGCAACAAATGGAGGGAGTGTTCGTATTTTTAGGTATGGAAGTATGCAACGGTTTATACAACATAGTGATGGTTTACTTAGTTTTATCGTCACGATATGACTGAAATATTGCCGATGTGACGTTAAATATGAACTCACTCACTCACTTAGTTTTATGTTACGTAGCATTTCAAACAGGCTTAAGCTTTACTGAAATTTTCAGTTTGTGTACGTTTCAAAACGAAATTCCGTTAGAGATCGGAACATTGACAGTGACTTGAAAATGCTTGGATGTTATTAATGAGAGATGGATATATTGTAGTTACCACTGTATTACGTTTGGTTATTAAGTACTGTCTGTGTTATTTTGTTAACTGACTGAACGTAATGATCAAACCTTCAATTCAAATTTTTAGTGATTTGACAATGAAATGCTTTTTATTGACTGTACTTTGTATTCAGCATATATTATATATTGTATTTAGTATCTCTCATTTGGATCTGTGATGCATCAAACAGTCAAGATGACGCCTCGCAATTTCTGACAACACCGTAAGTATCACACAATAGTTGGAATGAAAGCAGTATCAGATACATATCCTGTAGAAAAATGAACAAAGGCGTTGTATTTCAGCCCCAAAGATTCTGTTGTCTCGGCATGTTACACATTGAGCTGTCATGTACTAGTATAGTAAGAAATGAATGGTTTGGCAACACTATCTAACACTAAATAATTGTAGCTTTCCGTCAAACATTACGTCAATACGTGACTTTTCGCTTATGAATATGTGTGGTTCGTTTCTTCTATTTTCAGTGTAATATTATGGCAAGTGGTCGAACTTGACATAACTTTGAAAAAAATAAATTTCTCATGTTGTTATTCCGGTATGATCTATAAATGTGTTAATGTGACTTTTCAGACAATGCAAGCAATGTGTGTGTTCAGTTTGTGCCAGCGTTGTGTCCCAAGGTAGTTTTATTATTTATCAAAGATGAATAGTTGGAATCTGATCATTTGACCCAGGAAGAAGAAGGTAGCACAAGCTACCTACAACTTAACTCAAAACATAACGCATCTTAATTAATGAGGATTACTTCATAAAATCCACTTGGAGTTTAAGTTTGTCTTATATAGGCTTTGCTCTTCCATTTTCATCTCAGGCGGTGTCCTTCACAGAGGAAGAAACATTGTAAACACATATCTCAGGTGACGGTACGTCTTGTTATGGGTGGATAGAATGTCGTTGTCGTAGAAACTGTCGAACTGCAATCAGAGAATGTTTGGCAAACAAGTGTCGAGATTGGTACGCCGTGCATTTGCCATGATGTTTGTTTATCCTAGCTTATATATATGTGTGAACACATCTCACACATAAATTGGTGATCCAGTAGGTGAACACACGTCACACATAAACTGGTGATCCAGTAGGTGAACACATCTCACACATAAATTGTTGATCCAGTAGGTGAACACATCTCACACATAAATTGGTGATCCAGTAGGTGAACACATCTCACACATAATTTGTTGATCTAGCAGATGAACACATCTCACACATAAATTGGTGATCCAGTAGGTGAACACATCTCACACATAAATTGGTGATCCAGTAGGTGAACACACCTCCTACATAAATTGGTGATCAACTAGGTGAACATATCTCACACATAAATTGGTGATCCAGTAGATGAATACACCTCACACATAAATTGGTGATCCAGTAGGTGAACACACCTCACACATAAACTGAAGATCCAGTAGGTGAACACTTCTCACACATAAATTGGTGATCCAGTAGGTGAACACACCTCACACATAAATTGGTGATCCAGTAGGTGAACACACCTCACACATAAACTGAAGATCCAGTAGGTGAACACTTCTCACACATAAATTGGTGATCCAGTAGGTGAACACACCTCACACATAAATTGGTGATCCAGTAGGTGAACACATCTCACACACGTTTCACCTGTGAGTACTTCAGATTTATTAGACAAGTAATGTGAAGTAGGGTTTAGACGTGAAGTACATATCCTCTCTTACTTATTGGACCTGACCTAAAATCTACAGACACAAAGTTTCAAAACATTTGGAAAATGTATGGCTGTTCATATCACAAACAATGCATGACGGGCATATTGCATTATGTTTGACAGGCGTTTCTTAGATGAAACCAACCAGGCTCTATTTTAACACCTTCTCTGTTACACTGTAATATCAGCAAATCGGTAAGATATTTATACCATTATCTAGCAGACTTTGTGTAGAAACATCGCTATTACAATAAAGAAACTGTTATGCGTTTGTCTAATTTGACTGCAGTTAATTCATTGCAAACACATTTCTTTACACAGACGCCAAGAGAGTCCTGGTAAACAGCAGACAGACACTCATGCATACCTAGGACCAGTACGTCAAGATTTAATATCATTATTAGATATTCTCAAGCGAATTGCATTTGATTGTGTAACGTTTAATCTTAACGTTCTTCCCATAGACCATCTGGTTTAATTCTGGTTTCATTACAGCTTTACTTGTAAACTACTCTTCTTTTCTGTAATAAAAAATAATAAATCTTATGCAATGGGTTTTACTTTGCAATTTCAGAAATCTCCATATAACTACTGAATGGTTACTTGGCTTATATCTCTATCCTTAGGGTCATACCAGCGACTCATCAGACAAGAACAAAGGAACAAATGAAAAGACTTCTTCAGTTCCCGACCTGGTTAAAACGTCCGTAGAACCTGCTGCTGGTGAGTACGCGATCATCTCAGAGCCTGCAGACGTAGGAGACTACACGGAAATTACAGAAGACATCTCTGGGGCAGCGGCAGGGGTCTCCATGACAACAGCAAGTCATGGGATGACCACACTGGATGGACGTAAACCAGAAGACGCTGCAGACAACCTTGCTGGTCAATACAACAAACTGGGGGAGTCTATAAATCTGACCATAACCGATGTTCAGGCCACCTACAACAGGTTGAGGGACAATAACTTGGCCAGTGCCCATCTCCGGCAAACTGGTAATGGATCATCAGCAGAATATTTCGTCCTGGAAGAATCTGATGGCAACTACAACAGACTAGGGCAAGCTGCTCCCATCACTACGACTGATGCCACGAGTGGCTATCACAGACTTGGGGACACAGCCGAGGCTGGAAGTCCTCAAGCCAAGGACACTGAAGCGCCACCACCCGATTACTTCGTCCTAGAGGAACCTGCAGACACGTACAACAAACTTGGAGTTACTGTTGCTGCAACTGAGATGGCTACAAAGAACACCTATCACCGATTGGAAAACACTGATGTTGATACAGGGAACAGGGATCCAGAACCTTTCGAAACTGTGCTTGAAAAGTCAGGTGACAGCTACAACAAACTTGGAGAGAAAACGTCTGCTGAAGAAGCACACGGCACGTACAACAAACTTGGAGAGGTCACTTCCGAGATCAGAACCTGACCATTCTCAAGATGATTCCGAAGGACCCACCCTCAGGGTCTTACGGCATATTCGACTAACAACCGACTTGATTATATTCAAAGAGATAATGCTTCAAGTCCATTGTCCTCTTTAGATATTTCACATAAGTGGATGTGCAAGAATGTTTGCCTTATAGCAAGAAAATGTTATCCATATATCAACATATGTACTAAATTTATATTTCTTTCGGGATACATTCAGAGAAACTGACGTCTTGGTATTTATTTGTCTGTGAAATATAGATGGTGTTCATTATTTCATCTCACGGTACGCTTTTTGACACCTTGCACGCATATATTTACTCAGTGCTTTATAAACTATTGCCCAGGACATCTATATTCGTCTGGTTGAAAATGAAGATCAGACTGTCAGCCGGTCTGAAATTATACATCATAGAATGAAGGATGTAAAAACCCTTGCCTGTCTCAGTGATGTATCCTCATCCGGTGCAATGTTTCAGTGGTACGCATAACTTTCTCTTTGAAGTTCAAGGGACAGAAAGTTGGAGACTCTGCATAAAAATTAAAATTATATATCTAGATATACTGAAAGGCAAAAGAAACGTTGTAATATTGAAAATGACATTTAAGTATCAATGGAGTATTTGAACATATTTTTTTTAAATATACACCGGAAGTCAAGGTTAAGGAAAACATTGAATCGTGGTCGTATAGCATGTTTTGCCCAATAAAGTATTGTTTGAGATTGAGGTTAGAAATTATTTTGTTTGCGGAAAGGGAAGAGTTTGCACAAATACAACATTGAAATCTGAACACAGCAGCTATGGCTAGGTTAACGAGAGGTATAGATGGACGATATGACGGTCCTGGTCCAATATTATGACGTGTCTCTTGCCTTTCAGTATATTTGCAAGCGACATGGTGTATATTCACATTACGCCTATCAAACGAATTATTGCTATAGCAATTAAATGTCAAATGTCATACCCTAGTGTGTGTTGTGCGTTACCTTCACATGCAGTATGTGTGCCATGAAGATGCATGCTGAACTTTTCACACAATGTCGTCATCTCTTAACAGCTAATTACAACTGTTACAGAAGAGTGGCATACCCGCTTTTGCGTTTGTATCTGCACCTATGTATTTCATACAGTAGCACAGCCACTGAGACAAACCAGACAATGACACTTAACCTTCTAAAACCAGTATGTGTACGTTTGCTCAGGAATTGCCAGAATGGACTCATGTAGGCTTTTCGTGGGATCACTCCTGCCACTCCTCCCTATTGACCATAATTTCACGTGTTCTTTATGTGTTTGTATCAAATATATAGTTTATAGTAAATTCATCCACGAGCGATTTTAAACAGCCGACAAGCAAAAGTTTCCTCCTTCTGGGACATGACTGGGCATGAAAAGGTGACCAAGGTCCAATGTTTTCCTTGTATAACATTACGATATCTTGTGGATATCCAAAGCGTGTGTCTAAATATACAGGCACGTTGTTATGAAAACTCCGTGCATTATCCCCGTCGTTGCAAATACATGTATGCCGTGGGGCTGGCTGTCGACATAGATCATAGAAATCGATAATCGTTTACTAAATATCGATTTCGGAGAAGTAACTTTGAGCAAAAACGAATAAAAATGCCTGAAGGAAATGAATATATTTCACACCACTGGTGAGTTGTGACATGTTCATGCATGAGTTACAAACAAATCAGCGTCCTCTACATAATGGAGAAGCAGCCCATGTATAAATACCTAACTTTGTGTTTGTGTGAGTAAATTAAAACGTTATTCTATCACAAAAGTTTATGTACCCTAATTATCGATGACACTATTTTCAAATCGATAATCGTAAATATTATTTCCGCTTATCGACCTTTTTAGCCAGCCCTTGTATGCAGATACTTAAATATTATTTTTCCTGTGATATATTTCCTTCCCTGTACGATTACATGGACATTAGTGCATCACCAAATGCATTACGCAGTGCATCATCACTCAATGCATCACACAGTGCATCACCACCCAATGCACCACCAAGTGCATCATCACCCAATGCATCACCAAGTGCATCATCACCCAATGCATCACCCAGTGCATAATCACACAGTGCACCATCACCCAATGCATCACACAGTGCATCATCACACAGTGCATCATCACCCAATGCATCACACAGTGCACCATCACCAAATGCATCACCAGTGCATCACCCAGTGCATCATCACCCAATGCATCACCCAGTGCATAATCACACAGTGCATCATCACCCAATGCATCACACAGTGCACCATCACCCAAATGCATCACACAGTGCACCATCACCAAATGCATCACACAGTGCATCATCACCCAATGCACCACCCAGTGCATCATCACCCAATGCATCACCCAGCATCATCACCCAATGCATCATCACCAATCATCACAGTGCATCATCACCCAATGCACCCCATGTGATGCATCACCCAGTGCATCACCCAGTGCATCATCACCCAATGCATCACCCAGTGCATAATCACACAGTGCATCATCACCCAATGCATCACACAGTGCATCATGCACACCAAGTGCATCATCACCCAATGCATGCATGCATCACACAGTGCATCATCACCCAATGCATCACACAGTGCATCATCACACAGTGCATCATCACCCAATGCATCACACAGTGCACCATCACCAAATGCATCACACAGTGCACCATCACCAAATGCATCACACAGTGCATCATCACCCAATGCACCACCCAGTGCATCATCACCCAATGCATCACCCAGTGCATCACCCAGTGCATCATCACCCAATGCATCACCCAGTGCATCATCACCCAATGCATCACCCAGTGCATCATCACCCAATGCACCACACAGTGCATCCCGGAGTAAGGGCACAGTCAAAGAAGGATCGCAATGTCTGGCGTCCTGGGTGCCGTTGTTCAAAACAACCTTAGCGCTAAGGCTACCTTAAGTCAGTGTTAAAGTATGGGAGTTACGGTCACCTTAGTGCTAAGATCGCTTTGTACAACGGCACCCTGGACCTTAACCCTGACTGGTCTGATTATGAGAAGACAACACTTAGAGAAAACATATCGTTTGCATACAGAATGTAAACCTTCTATTATGTATTATAACTTTTGGGACATAATTCATAAATTCCTTTTTGAAATAAATGAAATATAAAAGTAACAACAACTTTGTGTTGTTCACAAATGGTTGAAATGGCGATTCGCCCCAACTTTAGACAGGTCCTGTCACAGATAAGGGGTACTGACATCCCACGGCAACTTTTGGAGACTAAACAGTTTGGGTCGGCTGCAAGTATGAAACTAAACAGCAACCGTTATGATAACATTGTTAAATCAGAAAGTTGTCAACAACGACAGAAAACATCAAAACATAATTTTATGCAATGCCCACCATGGGAACACTGATTTTTCAAAAATACTGTATAAACTTATGTTGGTCGTTATCAGTATTTGTAAGCTATAGAAAGTTTCGATGAATCACTGTATCAACAACGTTCGTTGTACCACCTATGTTACCGGCAGGAATCTATATCCCTCTTACATAGAAATTTGTACGGGAAGTGTATAATTTGTGAACAAAGTTATTGAAAAGTATTCACAATTCATAATTTTGTATGAAATAGTATCATGTTGTCAATAAAATATACACCTTTACAACTATAGTTTATTCCTTTTTGCGTGTGTCCATATCAGAATTGTTAACAGTTGACTCTCTGAAAACCTATATGTTGATTGTAGGAATACTCGTCAGTGTTGTGTTTAGTTATCTCGGCATAATATAACCACAACAGAAAATCAATAACGTTGTTTATGTTTGTGTGGGCGATTACATACAAAAGAATAATTCTTATCATTTCGCAAAACTTGAGCACATAACACCGGAACCCGTGAAGATTCCGGTTAGAATGGATCTTCAGCAAGCCATGCTTGTTGTAAGAGGCGAGTAACGGGACCGTGTGGTCAGGCTCGCTGACTTGGTTTACACATGTCATCGTATCCTATTTGTATAGATCGATGATCGGCAGATCACCAACATTTACAGATACCACAATTACTGTTATTATACCTGAAAACAAACCCCAGATGTCACACGATGCATAAATATATCACAAAATACCATACCTTGACAGGATTTTTGCACAATACTTGAAGTGAAATATAAGACAATACCCCATACGTTTATGCTGTTGCCCATTCATATTTTTAACACATGCATGTAAATAAATAATTTCAACTTTTGCCGTTGGGTAGGTACGTACAGGATGGCCGACATGTTGTTTTACCTAACTATGAGCGAGTGAGTGAGTTAATATTTATCGTCACATCGGCAATACTTCAGCCATATCGTGACGAGAACAATTAATTACATTATAGATCAATTAAATTGCAAAATAAATACCTGTTGACGAAGAACAGTAAAACTACTATTGTATTACATATATCCATTTAAAAATAGTAATGCGATCTGAAACATTTGAACTAGAAATGACAAGACAATGTAAAATCAGGCTATAGATTGTCAACAACTGAAAGTAGATCACCATACTAAGGACCACAGGGACTTACAGTGCATTTGCTTCCTGCATGGACCCTTAGTTTGGCATGAAATGCATGTGGACCCGGTTTTTTGTAAATATCTCTTCATCCAATAACCCAATCGATCTCAAACTGTGCAAGTGGATGTTTTGTCAGACAACCTAATCACATTGTAAATCACCGATTTTATGCATTTGTATTAAAGAATCTGTCTATGTAACTGTCAACAAAATAAACAGCAGAACGCAGACGGCTTGCAGAGGGATGGAGCCAATGGCCTGTAACATTGGATGAAGAGATATTTACCAAAAACCGGGTCCACATGCATTTCTTGCCAAACTATAGCTGGAATGACACCATCCCTTCAGCAGTCAGCAAGTTTAGACAATTTAGCCATACATTTAAAAACACACATATACTACGATTAAAATAATGGAGAGTTTTAATTTACCTTGAATGTTTGTGGACTTACGTACCCTCTCAGGGCAATAATTTTACAGTAGTTAAACCCCCTTTGAGGATACAGCCACTCACAATCTAAGTTACTAACTTAAACTTACAATCATAAAATATTTATCTATTTACAAATTATTTAAAAAATCTATTTCTTTTAAAAATGCAATAACTAAATGAGAACTGATACTATTAAAAAGATCCTTCATAGTTCGTGATTCGTATCCCTTGTGATGGAATATTCAACACAGTCAAGCAGGACATGCCAGAACGTAACTATGAAGAATGACGAACTATGGTCTGTGTATTTGTTTAGAAGGCAATTCAAATAAGTTTTATTTATACTTTAAATAAAGAAGAATATGCAGATTTTACCAAGCATATAATTTATGTGGACATTCAGCCCCCGGGTTTGTTGTCAACATGTCACAACGTCATTGGCACAATCAAGAATACCCTTCTTACGCAGATTTCAAAGACTAATACAAAACCAAATCTCCATTCTGCAAAGTCATCGCAAACATTTCGGCGGTGCGTTTAAAAGCATCGAAATATGGATCGGCTCTTTCTATGTGGAATACAAATTTGCTTATTAGAGACTATTATTTCGACAGGTTTTTTTTTGTGTTCAGCGCTATTCTCTCTGCACTGCGACACCTACCGGAGGATCGAAGAATGATAGGGGCGATGGGGTAGCCTTGTGGTTAAAGCGTTCGCTCGTCACGCTGAAGACCCGGGTTCGATTCCCCACATCGGTACAATATGTGAAGCCCATTTCTGGTGTCCCCCGCCGTGATATTGCTGGAATATTGCTAAAAGCAGCGTAAAACCAAACTCAGTCAGTCAGTCAGTCAGTCGAAGTCTGATAAAAAAAGGGGTACAGCAAGGAGGTACAGGTACAGCAAAATGGACACATGTTTTTGTTGCTTACAGGACTATCGTTGAACTTCATTATTACGCACAGTGAATAACTACATAGTATCCCTTCAGAGTTTACAGTTAAAAGAACAGCTCATAACATGTGCGGTCTATAAAATGTGAAATCTGAGATATAGTATCACTGGACATGACCATTTACGTTTCTTTATGTATTTTGCAGTTAAGGCGTAGTTTTATACACAGATACAGATAAAAGAATGCAGCAAAATATGCGGAATAATTGCTTTCTATTGCCCTATCATTTTTTTCGTATGAACCACTTTGACTAGTAACGATTGAGGCTACACCTTGGGGGTAAGGCAGTTACAACCAAAACAAGTGATATGTACAATATCATATAGTCACCTTGTTTGAGAAATATATCCGTCAATATCCACAAATTGACAACACCCCATACATCTTAAACTTGTTCGATGTCGCGTGTCTTTGTAACAATCTAATATTAAAAAATATCTCAGCGTTTCGTGATATTATACCCAGTGTTCATCTTTCAACTGATCATGTGAGTTTGTTTCAGGTGTTTCACATCGGTGTCATGGCTCCTTAGTCAGCAGAGATAGCACATGTGATGTCTATTTCTATGACATTCACAGTTCTTTAAAAGAGTGGATTTAGTTAGGCAACAATGAACAATCCTAAGTATAGGATTTCAGTTGTTAAGTAGAGGGTTGCCGTTGGTTAGGATATGGTTGCCGTCGGTAACTACAGCAGTGCATTTGGGTAGGTACGTATAGGATGGGCAACATATTGCTTTACATATCAACTATGAAGAATGGCCAACTATGGTCTGTATATTTGTTTAGAACGCAATCCAAAATAAGTTATATTTTCAGTGTGTGCATAAAAATACATGTACATCTATCCTGATCCTCGAAAGCAAATTTGTAACCATTCTCAACTTATTACCTGCATGCAGAGTATCGGTAGGTCGAACAAGGATGTGGAAGTCTCTGTATGTAGAGGTGAGATTGCAATTCTAGCCATAGTACAGTCTAGCCGTATAGGAAGACACCATTTCAAGTTGGAGGAAGGGGGTGGGGGTGGGGAGGGAGGAGAGAGAATTCATGACGCTATATCGCCTAAGCAAGCTCAAAGTTCAAACCCGCAATCTGAGAGTGAGGAGCCAGGCTAAATCCTGGAGGTCAATCCAAAAAGTTACCAGCATTTGTACTTTTCTAAGAAAGAGTTATCTCAAATATTACATTTGTTACACGGCAATGTACTAAACCTATATTTATTGAGAATAATAAAGACAAGCATGTAAGGCTCACATACTATGTATTTATATGCCATACATAGGAGCAGGGTAAACAGAAAGCCTACATTACGTTTTCATTGTATTTTGCTTAAAGCCCAACATACAATTTAACGTGAGATATTATTAAAGTTATAAAAGTGTACTGACTAAAGCTTATCGATATTTTAGGTTGGTTCTACAGCACATGCAGCGTGGTTCTCAACTTAACTACCTCATAGCATTCATTCTGTTTTTGAGGTTTTCACTACGTCAGGCAGTCACAAAACATGACAACGCTACACCTTTCTATAGACATGCCATTCAAAATGAAAGTGGTAAATGTGTAAACTGTCGGTCGGTAGTTTTCCTCATAGGTAATACATGTATATGGTAATCTATGTCCGTGTCACTTAACGTGAGATCCACTTCCCTGTGTGATCTGTGTCGTAATGTGATCTCTCTGTCGTGATGCGATCCCAGCCCGGGAACATCTCAGCATTATTCATATCAGGTGAGTTTCAAAGTTGTTTTATGTTTTCTCACGATCTCATTATAATTTCCTTTTTCTGGATAAACGTGTATCGATTGTTATAGAGCACGTATTACAGGGAACCACCACTGAGCATGCAGGAGATTTATTTTCCTTACTGCCAAGCCTTCTCTGCAGTGCTAAAGCCCTAAATGAAGCAAGTCTAGATTTCCTCAGGTTCAGGTTCTGAATCTCTTGTCCTTCTATGGCTCCTTTTCAGTTTAAATGGGCTTGTGTGTTACTGTCAAAACTATATATATTCAGAGACTAAGCATTAGTCTAGCAGGAGATTATATACAGCGTTGTGTAGCAGTGAAATATTTTGTGCTTCGTCGGGTGGACGTGCTGGTGGGGGAGTGGGATAACTGGACATCGGGACTTCAGGAGAGGTTGTTGTTGGTGGGTGGCTTGACAGTCGATCCCCTCAGTCCAGTCACAATGACACACAATCTACCAGTGAGTGAGTTTAGTTTTACGCCGCACTCAGCAATATTCCAGCAATATGGCGGCGGTCTGTGAATAAACGAATCTGGACCAGACAATCCAGAGATCAACAGCATGAGCATGGATCTACGCAAGTGAGAGCTGAGCCGATGACATGTGTCACAATCTACCAGGTCACACATTGTGGCCGATTTATTCCACATTGATGTCCCCGAATTAGGGGAAGGGGTTCACATTGCATTCATTCAACACCTCTGGTCTCACCAAGGCTTTAGGGACACAGGGATATATTTCCTTGTCACAGCATCGATATTCGTCTATTTTATATCAGAAAGATATTCATTTCGTTCAGTTGCAAATGTTACTTTTGTTGTAAATATGTGCTCATGTTTATTTCAGTATTGCAACACTAAAAGCAATGAAAGCTTTACACCTATTTTTAGGTAATTACTTTATTCTTGATAGAATTGGTTATTACGTAATTCATGTAAATTCTTTCTCTAAGATCTAACATCCCCAAGGTCAAAGATGTGATGTGAGGGGAAATTGGGTTTAACGTCGAGCTTGAGAATATTTCGCTCATATGACGACGTGCATGCGTGTGTATGTGTATTTGCGGCTGCTTGTACTAGCCCAGACTGAAGCTGGTTTTATGGTGCTAGCCCACTGAGATACCATGCCGCAGTGAAGCATGAATACCCCACTCAGACACATATACTGACTCCGAGCCGACCAGTCCTTCTGTACCCATTAATGCCGAGCGCCAGGCAGGGACCAACAAGTACCATATATTAACGTCTTTTTGGTATGACGCGGTCGGGGATCGCACCCGCGACCTTACGCTCTCCGGGCGGATGCTCTAACCAGTACACCACGGAGGCGGTCCAAGGTCAAAGAAACCATGGAACAAGTAGTAAAGCAAACACATGTAAACACTATTTGAAATGTAATAAATCAATATCACCTATGCTTTTCTGTTTTGGAAGAGTAAACTTGTTGGTAGTAGTAATCTACAGTCACTTGCTCACTTCAGGCTGACACGATCATGGATCAAATCAAACTCATGTCAAACATTAATGATGCACGTTGATATTGTTACATTTGTGCAGTGCTATTTATCTCATGACATAATATTTACTCTGTGTAGTGTGTGCAGTCATTGTAGGCTGGATCCCCTGCGGATGTGCAGTACGTACGTCAAAGTAAGTAGAACACTTAATGCTGAAGTTACAATAATGATAATAATACAGGAAATTTATATAGCGCTAAATCCAACCACTAAGTGGGTGCTCAAAGTTAAAATTTAATGGTCTAATGACAACCCAGCCAAACAATGCACTTCTTATCGCCAATACACCAATCACATAAAGTCAACCCATTCTTGGAACCAAACGTTAGTTTCTAGGATAGTTAACATATTTACAGACAGACAGACAGATGATTTTATTTGTATGAATGGCCATGAGGCCAACAGTTACATCGACATTCATAATAGTAAAGAGTCCGGACATTGATTCACATATAAACTGTATGTGATGGTACTTTTGTACAATACACAGCTAAACGTACTAGTATATAAGCTGATTTTGAATTCAGAAGAGTAACGAACTTGTGATAGTTGGGGTTGGAGTAGTAATAACATGGTAGATATTTTTTCCGTAGATCGTTGTACAATGGACATTCTAGTAATACGGGATATTCATTTTCTAACTTATCAAGGCAATGTGGACACTTGGCAATTGCGATATCTGCACTTTTCGATCTTCTGTATAATTGTATGTTAAAACCAGCAATACCACATCGAAATTTTGTCAGTGCTCTACGCAGATGAGCAGAGGGCAAGACTCGAAGGTAAGTTTCCGGCATTACATCAAGTTTATAGGTTGAATATGTGCATAAATATTAGGAAGCAGTCACGGTAGCTGACCACTCTTGATAATAAACATCTTTACATCTTTGTGTGAATATACACGTGAACAATTCTTTATTACCTACGTCTTGGTTCAACCAAGCATAAGACAAGCCATGCTGGAACAATAACTCTCGCACTGCTGAGGTCCAATTAATATCTCCAGAATCATCTAAACGTTTTAACATGAGATACGATCGTTTCGAAATGCGAGAATCAGGCTGTCTGGGCAACCGAATCCAGTATGATATTACTCTAGCTTTGTAATTTACATGCAGTGGATATCGTCCACACTCAGCTAGGATAGCTTTTGTGGGTGAGCGGTAACCAATTCGTAAGACAAATGTACAAAAATTTGAACATACCTTTTCCAATGTTGTGGCGATACACTGTTCCCCAGATTTCTGCCCCGCACAATGGGATAGGTTGGATTTTTCCATCGAATATTTTAAAAGCGATGTCTGGAAGCACTGATTTATAGGTGCAGATAAATTTATTGATTGGATACAGAGCCTTCTCGGCTTGCTTAGATGAAAAAAACCATCACAAGCTTTAGAGAACATATTTCTACATGACAAAGTTAATCCCAAATATTTGTAATAATTGACAGTTTCAAGTTTCTCATTAGCAATGTACCACTTTTCATGCTTTGATACTGTGCCACCTTTTCTAAACACTACGACCTTAGTCTTGTCGGTATTTATAGAGAGTCCCCACTTCTTGCAATACCTTTCTAGAATATACATTTTCTTTTGTAAATTTATAACATTGTCCCCAAATATTGCAACATCATCGGCAAACAGGAGAATGGAGAGTGCGTTGACAGCTTCGTCAATAAATGCACCACTGTGATCGCTGTTCACAATATCTTTAACAAGTTCATCAATATATAGAATGAATAGAATACGGGATAAAATGCAACCTTGACGGACTCCTGTCGTACAATTAAATACCTCGGTCATTGTTTGCTTACTACACCGAACAGCAGACTTAACGTTTGTGTACATATTACGAAGCAAGGTGTTTATTTTACCATATAGGCCATTATTTAGGAGAACCGAAAGCAGTTTACTTCTATCCACTGTATCAAAAGCCTTCTTGAAATCGACGAAAATACAATAAAATTTGCCGCCTTTCTTTCTGATATATTTATGTTATCGTTAACATATTTACCATATATGTATTTGTTTTGCTCTCTTTTTTGACAATGAATTGTTTGGTTCCACTACACTGTAGTGTTGGAATACAAATTTTTAGGAATCCTCGAACAACAATACCCGTACCATGAGGGTAGTTTGGTAAGGATAAACAATAATTTCAGCCTCTGTTCAGATCAATACATAGTGGAATGTACTTGTAACCCCCTTGTTGTTATCAATTCATTTAAATTTAAGAGACATTGTTTTGCAGTCTACATCTAAATCATCAAATACTAAAGTTCATTTCTGTTCACTGATGAAAACTAAATTTACGTCATGTTTTCATAAACCCACGATTTCCTCACTTGGTGGTTTTTAAAGTGATTTAAAAAGCATAACTAAAAGCCATACGTTTTAGGACAGAGTTCACTGTTGTACGCCTTTGTCCATGCTCCACACTCCACTGTCCAGAACAACATAACACGTGAACAAGTGCTAATGTTTTTGGTGTGTTTAGAATCCTGCTGGCCCAATTAATCTTTTACAGTTCGCCCCCTTTCCTGCTCCATTTTTAACATTCATTTGACTGCACTGATGAGACGCAATGGGAGGGTGTATGTTGAAATAGTTCCTCTTTTGCGTGAATCGTAACAAAAAGTTAAAATGTCATTTACATATTTTGCGTATTAATTTAGTAGTTTCTGTTTTTCCTCTAAAGGTCGTTTGGTAAAGATTTATGCATTATTTTTTTCTCGTAAACATAGAACACAAAGCATGTCATTCGTCTTTACAGGTGTTTCTGCAAGAGAAACAAACGTAAGTATAAAACTATGAAGTTTAAATCAAGGTGATTACAAAATGACTTGAGTAATAAATGCTTCATATCCTTTAATCAAATCTATGTACAAAGATGACATAAAATCGCAATACCACAACACACGTAATATAATGCGTTTTACTAAAATACATCAACAAAGTTCTATGTTTTCGCAGATAACCGTACATGTACATGCAACTGGTCTCGAGGTTCCTTTTACTGTATCTCAAATAATTGCAGGTAAGCGTTCAAGTCTCTAAGACTTGCAGGTATGGTTCTATGGTAAAGTGCATTTATGGTTCCCGTTGGCGTATGACTTGTTCAAAGTAATTGTTTGAACTACCATAAGCCTCCAAGATGACTTGAGATAAAGTTTTCATGATAACAGCCTTGATATCTTTGTCATTTAGCGCATGGTGCTTTATCGTGTGATCAATAACATTTCTAAAATTCTGGAAACTCTTGCTTGATAGCCTTAGTAGCGAAACATAACATTATAACAAGTTTGTTTGTGTTTGTATTTTTAATGTGTATAAATATATTTCATAAGACAAACACACTTCTCGTTAAGCCTTCATGTCTTACAACGACAATACGTAGAAATGTTAAACAATGGAATCTTTTTACCTACTGTGCAGATGTCCACCAAGGTGCAGTGTCTGTTGTAATATTTGTGAGTATTACACAGTACATGAGTTGACCTTTCTTCAAGTATTATTAATTTTATCACACCATTCGAACTTCTTCAGTTCACCACTACGTTTAACAGCTCAAGATGACTTCTTATACACCCTTTAGAGAGGTTTAACAAATGAAGAAATAGGAAGTACATGGCGGGGACAGTTTGCATGTTTATATATTGTGAAGGTGAATATTTTATGTGACATATTATTGTATAGAGCTATATCCGAATTACTCGTAACTTTCAATTGAAAGATGAAAACATTCAAAATACAACTACAATATCCATTGATATCCAAATCGGAACAAAAACAACAACATGTCACGTTACGACACAAGGGGCAACCACAGCTAAACATGTCGCTACGACCACCGATCCAGCCAATACTACAAGAGCCACTTCTACCACCTCTTCAACAACAACTACACGTGTTATCACGACCACCGCATCTACAACTTCACATGCCACATCGACCAACAGAAGGACGACGGATGCTTATTCACCTACAGATGCCGAAATGTCACCCGTTACAACTACACATAGGGATGTTTCTGGAACAACAACGGACCACACTGGTAAGACTCAAGCTTAGTGGCGTAAATTCCCTGTTTAGAGATATCTAAAATGAAACATGAGATTTATACAAGCCCATTCATTCTTTCCGAACCGTAACATAACTACAAAACTGACAAAGATGGATTCAACCAACACCCACCAATTATTCCGTTTTTTTCGGCAGATCGGAACCCTCGTGGACCCTCGTCGGCGTCTTATAGCTCGGTAGCAGGAGTTGGAGGTGTGATCGGAGGTGTCATCATCACTGTCTGCATTGTTGTGCTGTGGCGCTGCTATCGCTCTCGACAAATGTATGGTATATTTCAACATCACATACCCCAACTACAACATAATACTGAGTATAACTGTTACGCCTCTTAGTGTCACGAGTAATACCACGGTATATCAGCTACATGTTGGCGGAAATACTCAAATAATATTGGTGAATTGTACGACCACAGGTATGCTTGTGACAAAACCTGAAATATAAACTTTCGTATCTTTGGTTCGAACCATCAACCACGTTTTGGCACGAGATTCTACACTGCATATTTGTAGCATGGAATAATCTATTCTATCATTTCAAGATGGAAATAATATTGTTTGCTATATATATAAACTACACCATATCATGAAAATTACTTCTCAGTAACAGACAGACAAACGGAGAAGAGGGAGAGAAGAAAGAGTCGAATACAAGCTTTGGATTAGTAAGTTTGCATCTATTCACGTGTACATATTACGTATGGGTGGATTACTGGATGGATGCGAGTCTGCATGCGTGCGTGCGTGCGTGCGTGCGTGTATGCGTGCGTGCGTTCGTTCGTTCGGTCACACATTCGAAATTTACTCTACACTTACGATATATTAATTTGGATGTAATCTGCACAATTTCTTCCGATGTCTTCGGAATTAAAAGGTTTCAATATATATTTAAGACTTTGTTGTGCTTCAATGATTTGTCATAACAGAAAGTAGGAAGATGATAGTTATCTACGTATCCATTCCAGACCCAGTACCGGTCTGTGTTACATATGTGTAGGTTGGATTGATGATATGCAGAAATCTCAGTCCACTTGATTCAGCTGTGAAAACAACACATAAACCACACAGCATAACAAATACATCTGAAGCTAACACAGCTTTTTGTTTTCAGGATCCCACAACGTCGTCAGGGAGAAAACCCGACCCAGTCCCAGTCCCAGTCCCAGATATTATCAAGATATCTACTGGACCAGGTATTGGCGCGGCGGAAAACGTGTATGATGTGGCCAACGATGAGGAAAACCACACCGTGGGGAATGAGCCTGCTGGTGCAGACCACGGACACTATGAGGACATAACAGATGGAATACCAGGGGCAGCTGTGTTCTCTGTGTCCAAAACAACCCCGGGGAAGAAGCCTGCTGCTGGAGACCACGGACACTATGTGAACATAACAGATGGAATACCAGGGGCAGCTGTGAACGCCCAGGACACAAAGTCACAACCACCTCTGGAGAAAGTTGACCCAACAGAGGGAGACTACAACAGACTGATCCGAGACCACGCCACTCACATCAGGATGTTTGCACACGACAAATATAACAGGCCGGGAATTAAGGAAACTTGTGGCCAACCCAAAGTCAGCGGTCCATCAGCAGAGTATTTTGTCCTGGAGAAGTCGGACGCCGTCTACAACAAACTAGGAGACAGTGCTACGACCACTAGTGGCCAACTCGATATCAGCGGTCCATCAGCAGAGTATTTTGTCCTGGAGAAATCAGACACCGTCTACAACAAACTAGGAGACAGTGCTACGGCCACCACTAGTGGCCAACTCGATATCAGCGGTCCATCAGCAGAGTATTTTGTCCTGGAGAAGTCGGACACCGTCTACAACAAACTAGGAGACAGTGCTACGACCACTAGTGGCCAACTCGATATCAGCGGTCCATCAGCAGAGTATTTTGTCCTGGGGAAATCAGACACCGTCTACAACAAACTAGGAGACAGTGCTACGGCCACCACTTGTGGCCAACTCAATGTGAGCGGTCCATCAGCAGAGTATTTTGTCCTGGAGAAATCAGACACCGTCTACAACAAACTAGGAGACAGTGCTACGGCCACCACGACTGATGTGAAGAATACCTACCACCGACTTGGGGACACCGCACCTGACATCTACAGCAAACTTGAAAAGCAATACTGTGTTGAAGAGGCACAACGAACCTACTGTAAACTCGGGGAGGCGACATCCACCATCTACGACAAACTTGAAGACAAACACTCTGTCGGGAACAAACAAGGAACATACTGTAAACTCAAAGGAGCGACAGCCTAGAAATCAGGATCTGTACTCCCTTGTTGTCCAGAGTCTGATAGGATCAGACAATTTATTCACACAGTAGTTTATTTTTTTCTAAATTCTTAGCCATGTATCATGCAAGCAAACCATTCTTCCTGGTGAATCTTGGAACTTGGTATACAGACTGCAGAATATAGTTTTGGATTTGCAATATGACTACCGATTCAAATGTGCTCTCGTCTTCTATTATTCGTGTGGGGCATATTTAGTTAGATTGGTCTTTGTTCTGGAGTTACAATTTAGCGTCACATCGGCTATATGTCGGGCCTATATCCATGTAAAGCGGTCAACAGTGTGTTCAAATAGTCAGTTAGTCTAAAGAGTCAATATAACAGTCGCAATCTAGGGACATGTCCACAGTGCATAGTAACTGTTTCCAAAGTAGTTTCTTTCAATCTATACAATGCACCAATAGTAGGGGAAATACTTATTATTAATAATACTTATTGTAACTATAGGAAAATACAGCAATGTCTGGCAATGTATTCAGTAAAACAAAGTGATTTTTAGTGGTGTGGACATTGCAAAGACAAGAATCACCAGACACGTAACGCACGTGCAAGGGTTCGTGTGGCAGATTTACTACAGAGTCATGTCTCTGTTCTAAGCAGGCAAATATTCTTTTTTTTGGTATCAAACTTGGGCATCTGTCATCAGCAGATTGTTGATAGGGCAACAACAACAAAACTAGCGTCGATGGTTGACGCCGCTCTGGACATCCAAGGGCAACAACTCCAGCCCGGGACAGATTAATCAGAGCGATGGAATTATGAACTTGGTTAACTCAGGCAATGGGCAGGTTACATCAGGCAGCTGGTGCAAAGTCATATCTGCAGATATTTGTCATCCCACAACTTGCTACACGTTGTACAACTTGCTTTAACTTGAAGAAGAGAGCTCAGTGGTGTAGGGAACGTCAGCACTGGGATAATCGACGTTTGGCTAATGCCTCGACTTCCATGACAGAAGCAAACATGACACGTCATTGTAAGCGTTTTATGGACGTTCATGGACATCAATTGCACAACGTGTCCTCTTTGAAGGTGATAACGCACGTGCACGTCTACCAACAGCCGTGATGTGCCCGATGTCACTGACGCCGGATGCAAAATTCATTTTTCGAATTTGACCCCTGACCTTTTTAACGACCTAGAGCGCCACCAGTTTATTACACAACCCATTAAATGTGATCGCCTATGCAGATATATCATAACATTTCCATTTGCCAATATCACATGGATCAGGAGATATATGCAATACCGATCTCCTATACGTGTAGGATAGTACATAGTGCAGATATTGGTGGTTGAGTCGTTGAGTAATGGGATGTTGGGTCGATGAGTCACGGTTGTGTGAGTCGTCAGCACGATAGACGTGTTCGTGAGTTTTAGCAACATGGCATGATGTTGAAAGGTTAGGCCACGCGACTGTTTCCAGTTTTCCTGTTTAATCATGTGTTTTCGAACAATTTTGCTTTTTTAAATACATTTATTTGTAAGTATACATTTATGCTTTTGGGTCTTATTTGCTTTTGTTGTTGTTGTTTTTCTTTTCTTTTTTTCTGTTTTGGTTTTGGTGGTATGTTTAGTGGTAATTTGGGATTTTGGGTTTGGGTATGTACCTAAGACAACATGTCCGTCTTTCTTAACAATATTGATGCTTTTGACTTAAAATACAGCTACAGTGGCATGTATTATTTGCTTGATAACGTAATTTCAACACAGATCGTTGTGTATTTTATGCTGTATCACTTTGAATGATAAAATTTGGAGAAACTGCACATCATAGTCTGATTTGTATTTGTCTGATTATGGACATGTGATGCCCCGGTAGCGTCCACCATTCCAATGGCCAGTGAGCTATGTTCTCCCATGGGTTGCCATCACAAACATACCATCACACTTCCACTTCCAATCAGCGTTAAATGGTTCTTCTGGACGGCTATAAGCGCTTGCAGCGCCACCGGAACTGTTCAGATGATATCTAGAGTCATCTGTGAACATTAGACTATCCCAGACGTGTCTTCTGGGAACCTAAGATGCTGTCGAGGCCTATCTTGGCGTCACTTGCGGTGACATAGAAGAAAAAAGGGCGCCGGGGCGTCACTGGACGTCGGGGCTGGCTTGCAGGTGATTGTGTATGGTTCTGTTTCTGCCACTACTTAATCTAAATCAAGGAATTATCCGAGCTGTTAATGTGGCAGTTAGGAATCGATTCCAACGATGCATCAACCGAATATGATTGTCTGGCTAACTCTTCCTCATCCTTGGTAAGCCATGAATGATAACGTCTCCAAAGAAACGGTATTGTGTTTTGATAGACATTCAAAATATCTGGCAACTTCGTTTTACGCCATTCCAGTTTGCAAGCGAGTGGACTGATTTTCAGCAAACCATGGCATTGCGTAGACGCTTTACTTACTGTTAAACAAAGTGTTTAACATACGCGCTGAGAGTCAGTTGAGAGTCAGGGCCTTAAAGTCGAAGTGATGTCTTCATGAATATATACTGAATATTTCTTAGTGAACTTTATATTCAGTATAGTAACTTTTTCCGGTAGAATACAATACGTCATTTTTTGTCCAAATCCAAAGGTGATCTTTACTGTCATTACCGTGCTGTGTCACTGACCACCAGGATTACCCATGAAATTCCGGGTTAGAATTGGTCTTCGGCAACCCGTGCTTGTCGTAGGGGGCGACTAACGGGATCGGGTGGTCAGGCTCGCTTGACACATATTAACGTATCACTATTGCGTAGATCAACGCTCATAGTGTTGATCACTGGATTGTCTGGTCCAGACTCGATCAGTTACAGACCTCCGCCATATGGCTGGAATATTGCTGAGTGCGGAGTTGAACAACAATCAAACAAACAAATAACGAATCAATCATACTTTGTAGGTGAATAAGAGTAATATAGCATAAGTTATATAGTATAATGCTGACAAGAGACATGCATCACGTGTTTGTTTATGCTTCACATTCAAGCTAGCGAGTCCCCATTTTGTCGGTTGGGGAGGAGAGTAACTTCAGTGACATAGCATGAGGCTAGTTTTCCTGACTGGTGATTCTTGGCCTACACATGTCATCGTATCCCAGTTGTGTAGATTGACGCTCATAGTGTTGATCACTGGATTGTCTGGTCCAGATTCGATTATGTACAGACCGCCGCCATATAGCTGGAATGTTGCTGGGTTAAACAACAACCAAACCAAACAGGCTACAGAACGTTCTTTCACAGTCCTTGGTTAGAGTAACAACAGTGTCAGTGTCAGTGTCAGTAGATGCCAGCCACTTTAATACAGAATTATCCCCAAAAGTAGCTTTATATAGTGACATTAAATGGAGACACCAAGACGCACAACGTTGCATAAACGTTGATCATGACTTCGGTGTTTTGTCAATATATTTTAGATTCAGCTTTGTCTGCTATAAACTAAAGACAACGACACTCCTACCGATCTGACACGACGGCAGTTAAAACATTCTTGAGCTTTGGTATATCACGTGCAGACAGTAAAAGCGATAAACAGTGATGTCACGTGGTCTGCAAGAACTCGTCTCACACGGTATTCCAAAAGGCCGACTATATGTGTTTCACATCTCCAATTTCAACAATCAAGAGAGCAAGCGGGCGAAAAATGACAAATGGAAAAATCAAAGTGTTTTACATTAATTGTTATTTTACTAAATTTCAAAATGTCAGTTGGTTCTTTTCATTATATATCGTTTCATTATTCCCCGTGGGAATGACAAATCAGGGCAGACGGGCGATTGGAAGCACAGAATTAGATACGGACCGCCTAATGGACCATACAGACGCTCGAACAAAGTTGTGATGAGATAGTACGTGCATCCCGTTAGTCATGTCGCGACATCCGTGTCGGAGTGTTACATCCTTGATCACAGCCACTAGGTGTTAGATACATCGCCATCCTTCACGTAGCACTTCCCGTTACAATGTGACTTAATCACCCGAATCAGAGTCGACACATCAGTGGTAAGTACATGATAATCTGTCACGTTTCTCCTCTCAAACATTAGACACATGTGCGAAATGGACAATAATTGCATCTGAACCTATCTGATTGTACAAGGTGATGCTGTTAGGTACACAACTGTATGGTAGTCTAATATTGAACAAACTGTATGGATAACAACTTTAAGACAATGGTACAAGAATCTGTATCGAAACGAAACGTGGTACTCACGAAATACAAGAAGTTGTTATCCATAAAGTTTGTTGAATATTGTACGTCCCAACTTCTAAAATGTCACTCAAACAAGTAGTAGTCATAACTATGTCTGCACAAACGATAACACCGTCAGTAGAAATTTGGATATTGAACGCTTTGTATATTTGTATATCCTTATGAATTATTCTATATATTTAATATTAACTATTCAGACTTAAAGCCTAATACATGGGGCGTGAGATGACAACAATGGAAGTATAAAAATACTGTTACCTTATTTCAATCTGTACTTTACTTTGAAAGTCTAATCCAAAATATAGCAAATGTTACATTTGACCACATTCTAATAGGCATTACGTAGGCATAACTTTATGACTAACTCGCTCACATTCTAAATTTGATGGACATTGTCTTTGTACAGCAATTGAGCGCAGTAGTCAATCCAAGCCGAAAACAGAGCAATCTGCATTCCGTTTCTGAAGAACCGGTACGTAGGAATTGTTGCCCCCCTCATTTTTCTAAACTAAGAGTTCCAACAATTGGCATGCATCTCAAGGTTCAAGAGAGATCTTGATCCGGGTCCACTATTGCCGCTAAAGAGTCGTGTAGTTTCAGTACGAGTTTACATAACGGCCCCCAGGGTTTCTCACTTCCGACGCAAGGTGACCTTTGGTTTATGAAGATGAATATCCGACACTGTTAACCCTAACTCAGAAGCCTTGTAATGCCATAGTTTGTATACTAGTTAGAAGCCTTGTAATGCCATAGTTTGTATACTAGTTCTACAGCTGCAAATGAAGCAAATGTGTTGAAGATGTTGAATCGCTTAATATCATCCGCAAGAGAGCAATCATTTTACCTTAAAGTTTCAACTGATATTTTGATTATGATCAGTGTTTCATCGAGTATTATATGTTTAGTAGTTTTAGAGTTAGATTGCAATTCATCGGTCCGATTTTGAGCCAAACGGACTATATCAATTTATTTTATGATGAAACAAATGATTGAATTTCTTTATTGTCGTTCTCATTCATTTTATAACGTTCTCGTTATCCTGTGACGCTAAATATTAACTCACTCACTCTCTCGCTATCCTATGCTTGTTCAGTTTAAAGATAATCTGTACTGGTTGGTTTGTGTTATACAGAAGGAAGATGGACAGGAAACGCCGCCCAAAGGGTATGTCTCTTTCTCTGTGGAAAACTGTTCATAACAGTATAGTTTGGTGTAGCTGGGGTAAAAAAACAACCAAACCAAACAGGCTACAGAACGTTCTGTCACAGTCCTGGGCGTTGGTTAAGGTAACAACAGGGTCAGTGTCAGCGAAGGTATAAAGTTATTTGTGTATACCTGTGTAACGGGGAACAGGTCTGGTCAACCGGGATCTCAAAATAACTTTCATACAGTTTTATGTAAACATATCGAGTCGACGTTGAAGGAACCCATGTAAATAATTCGAGTTATCCGATGTTCGATTCAACTGCAAAATGATGACTTAGGAAGGAGTATGGGTACAAAGCGCTATTTCGAGACAACCATAAGTGTGCTTGCATGAGTGAGTGAGTAAGTGTGTGTGTGTGTGTGTGAGAGAGAGAGAGAGAGAGAGAGAGAGAGAGAGAGAGAGAGAGAGAGAGAGAGAGAGAGAGAAATTAATAGTTCTATTATATTTTCAGGGGCAGATAGAGGGAGAAAAAGAGACAGGTAATATTGTTGTCTTCGGTGCAACCTGTTGGTGTAGGTGTTTGTTTCCACATATGCCTGTTTTAAAACTGTTCACCCTATACTCGTCATAAGTTTAATTTAGTGTTTGATTTCGTTGGCCTTGAACGCCCGACTGTGATGTTGATGGGTTTCCTGAAATATCAGGGCCGCCATTGAATGGTGTTATTTGTTTTGTTATTTTGCTTGTTTTGTTCATTTCATATGTTTTATGTTTTTTGTTTACATTGTATTTGCTGTTTGGGAGTGGGGAGTGTGTGATCTTTTTTTGTTTTCTAGGAAGGGGAGGTATTTGTCATATTGGGACTTGGGGTGGGATTGAGAGAGTGTAATTTATCTTGAATGAATATTCACGAAAAATTTCGCGATTTCTGTTTGAAGCAATAATTTTGAATATCGAGTAAAAGGGAAGTTTGCAACACATAATCTTGGTTATTTATTTGCTGTAGATCTGGCCGCAGCTGCCCTCCTTCTCCACGTAAGTATAACCATTTATTACTTACCACTGATATTCTTTTGGTGGCAGGGGTGAGCAGTGGGGACGGGGGTGCCGATAACATTATTTTGTCACATCGGTTTTTACAATAAACTGTTATCTAAACAGAATCGCGCATGGTATCAACGTCTTTGTTAAACATCCCAGAGTGGGTGAATGAGTTGACAAAAACCTAGTATGTTTACAAATCATGTTTATCTACATTTTGATTAAAACGACCAATGTCTAACCTTTGTGTAAAAATTGACTGTATTGATTTTTCCATCACATGGGATAAATAAACTCTGTCAAAAAAAGAAACGCAACCCCTGTATTTTAGAGATTTTGATCTGAAGTTTTAGGACGACACGGCATTTTTATTATTTAAGACAGAAGTCTGAAATTTGGCAGAATAATAACCCAGATGGGCATGTTTAAAATTGTCATTTCAAAAGTCATCTCACAGACACCAGTTTGTCACCAGGGGGGCGTCTTTCTCAGTATCTCGTATGAGCACCACGCGCTGCAATCACTGCACGGCATCTCCTTGGACAAGAACGGATAAGACGCCGGATTCTTTCCTGGGGGAATGGCTCTCCACTCCTCCTGCAGTGCAACGGCGAGCTGTTGCAGCGTCTGTGGCGGCGGCTGACGTTGACGTACGCGTCGATCCAGAGTATCCCACAGGTGTTCAATAGGGTTGAGGTCTGGTGATTTAGAGGGTCATGGCAAGACATTGACGTTGGAATTCTGCAGAAAGTTCATTGTTGCACGTGCAGTATGAGGCCGGGCGTTGTCCCGTTGAAAAATCTGTGTCTGTTGGTCAATAATCGGGAGAAGGTGAAGCTCTAACACGTGGTTGATGTAACGTTGGGCTGTCAGGTTCCCTGGAACGATCACCAAGTCTGATTTCTGGTTGTATGAGATGGTTCCCCAAACCATGACGCTTTCTCCGCCAAATCTGTCCACCTGTCGGACGCAGATGGGCGCAAAACGTTTATGACGTCTCCCATACAGACGCTGTCTTCCGTCGTGACGTTGCAAAAGAAAACGTGATTCATCAGAAAACCAGATTCGCCTCCAGTTTTGTAAAGTCCGTATCCTTACGTTGTTGCACCACCTGAGTCGTCGGCGTCGATGTAGGGGCGTAGTACAGGTCCAACAACTGGTCTACAGGCACGTAAACCCGCTTCTTTCAGACGGTTCCTAATCGTTTGAGCTGACACTCTCCTCAAACCTGGTATTTGTGTGGCAGTTACGGTTGGTAGGGCATGCCGATTACGCAGGTGATGGACCCGGATGTACCGATCTTGAAGGGGGGTCGTGATTCTTGGCCTTCCACTTCTCGGGCGATCGTTGGTCAAATTGACGTTGTTGTAGCGGCTCCAAAGTCGGGATATCGTTGTTTTGTGAACATTTAGGTGCCGTGCAACAGTTCCAAAACTTTCTCCGGCTTGAACACGACCAATGGCGATATTTCGGTCGGCAGCACTCAATCGTGGCATTTTAACACAGCTTTTCGGCGACAAATGAATGAATATAATACGGAAGCACATGGGCTTTTATACACCCCTACATTAACTGCCATTTTCATGATTTGCATGTGTTTTTTTTGTGCGAAGTCACCATGAGGGTCATTTCATGCGTTGTGACGGAATAAGCAATAAAATACACTTATGCGTACAAATGCAGTTGTTTGGATGGTCATCTTCATTAATTACGTGTCTCATTTCAATACATTCGAATAAAATTTAGTTTGGAAGCAATAACTTCATTCAAACGAATTTTTCATATCTGAGGACAGGGGTTGCGTTTCTTTTTTGACAGAGTTTATTTCAATGTCCAAACAATTAAGGATCTTATTATAATGTCAATTATCATTAACAGGTCACAATTCAATTCTGGACTCACAAAAGTCCAGTAACTCTCCGCATTGTGGACACTTTCTGACAAGGGATTTAACCAAATTAAACATGCAGTTGTCATGAACATATGTCAAGGATGAAAAAATGAAAACAATTTTTTTCGAAAACTCAAAATTTAAACTCGCTCGCCCATGGGCCGGCACATTGGCGAGAATGTTGTTTGACTCAGAATTCATGTTTTGGAGGTTGTAAATGAAAGAATGTATGTTTATACGTATCATGACACAAAATTCAACTCATTTTGACTTAATTCGGCTAATTTAGAGCGATATTTAATACTTGTTTTTTAAGGAAATAGAATTATTAGATCAATTTTGAGCAATATGTTTTGTAATAGATAAACGGGATTATAAAATTGTAGTATAAATTAGCAATTGCGATTGTTAGTGGCTGTATCCTGAAAGGGGGCTGAAGTATCGTAAAATTATGGTCCTCCTAAGAGGGCACGTAAGTCCCAAAATTATCATTAAAATATTGACACAGTTCACTGTTTGTTACGAGGGAGGAGTGCAGAGAAAGGGACAGCCAGGTGTTCGAGAAGCACGTTCACAGACAAAGTTATTTATTCATTAACCTGTGCTGTCTCCATCCGTTCTCGAACACCTGGCTGTCCCTTTCTCTGCAATCCTCCCTCGTAACAATTAGTGAACTGTGTCAATATTTTAATGATAGATTGTTAAACAACTTTATTATTTTTAGGACAAAAATTCTGCAAAAACCTCACAGTGTGGGTATGATGTTTTGATTATGATCAGCGTTTCACTGAGTATTTTATGTTTATTAGTTTTCGAGTTAGATTGCAATTCATCGGTCCGCTTTTGTGCCAAACGGACTATAGTATGGTGATCTACCTTCAGTTGTTGGCGATCTACAGCCTGTTAGTATACTGTATTGTCTTCGTAAATAAAACAGTGTTACATTTCCCTTATAGTTTTAAACTCCATCTGTGATACTCTAGTTATTTTACAGTCCTTCGATGACTGGTTATTTAACAACTTATATTTATAGTGTATGCCAAACCTTTCTCGGCACTATATCTCTGAAATATTGACGTTAAATTTTAAGTCACTCAGTCATTCACTTTGTGTGAGTGAGTGAGTTAAAATGTAAAGTCACATCGGCAATATTTAAGCCATATCGTGACTAAAATAAGTCATCATAAATACAGGTGAGGTAAATCACTAAAACCTGTCAACGAAGGACAGTAAAACCAACTAGAATATCACAGACACAAACAAATATAACTAGTATATATCTCTAAACCTGAATTTCAGATTTGGACAATACAATATAACGAAGGGCTATAGATCGCCAGCAGCCATACTAGGGACTCACTTTGTGTGAAAGTGTATGTGACCGTCAACGTTTAGATAGTCATACCAAAAGACATCAACGATGGTACATATATATTTGACCTGTATATTCTGTTGTAACAAGAAATGGGATCGGCTTCTGTTTCTTCTCAGATGTTGCTTCAATCTATTCAACTTTTCAAAGTTTCATATCGTTATTTGTAACATTGTGTGCAATACGTATATGTTTGTTTATGTGTCAAGAATATAGAATCATTTGTGTCTATCAATTATTTCAGCTGGAAATGGAGCGGGCAATAGTGGCAGGTAATGCCCTTTTCTTTAATGAGACGTTTTGGTACACATGCTTGTATCCACCCATGCTCGTCCAGGCTGTTAGCTGTAGCCTATCGCTACAGACAGTGGTGAAGTCTATGTAATGTTATTAGTCTTAAGGCACCTGGACCGCTTCCGTGGTGTAGTGGTTAGAGCGTCCGCCCGGAGAGCGGAAGGTCGCGGGTTCGATCTCCGGTCGAGTGATACCAAAAGACGTTAAAATATGGTACTTGTTGGTCCCTGCATGGCGCTCGGCATTAATGGGTACAACAAGGACTGGTCGGCTCGGAGTCAGTATAATGGGTCTGAGTAGGGTATTCATGCTTAACTGCGGCATGGTATCTCAGTGAGCTAGCACTCTATAGTATGACCAGAAATTATTGAGAATTTTAGGAATATGTTTAATTGGATTTCTAGTATAAACAACCTTGACCAGCTATCAAGTGCTTGGTTTCATTTAAATAAGACAACTCGGTTAATCCTTTTTCATTAGTTTGTGAAGAGTTATCCCCCTTTGTTTACTTGCTAGCAGACGACATTTTCAGTGATCCTCAGTATGGATGATTTAGAGAACAGGAAGTTGATTTTAGAGGACATCAGATCAGCTAAAATGATTTCAAGTAGAACAGGCATCCCTTTGTTTATCGTGTTTTGAAAAATATTGCAAATGGATGTGGCACTGAGCACCAGGTAGACGCAGGTAGGCCCAGAAAATTGACTGTCAGTGACAGGAGGCGGCTTGGTATTCTTGTTTCTAAAAACAAACGAAGGAGTTTAGAAAACTTAAGGCTGGATATGATTGATAGAGGAACTGTGGTTGTCTGTAAGAAGACAATTAGAACTGAGCTGCATGCAATGGGTTGGCAGAAAAGTCGAGGAATTCAATCACCGATCATGAAACCTGAACAAAAGGAGCGAAGGTTGAACTGGAGCTTACAGCATAGAAGTTTTAACTGGGGCAATGGGATTTTTCTCAGATGAAAGTTCTGTGTGGCTGTTTCCTAAAACACTGAACTTCTGGACCAAACAAACTGAAAAACCTTTGTATCAGCGCCAAAATTTGTACAGTCCGAAATTTAACGTGTGGGGTGGCATATCTGTGTTATTTTAAGGGAATATGGGAGGGAATATGAATAGTGAGCGGTACACAGATATTCTCGAGGGACATTTACTTCCATCTGCTCACGTGTTCTATGGAAATGTTTGGATTTTCCAGCAGGACAACGACCCAAAACATCGTTCAAAGCATTCACAGGCCTGGTTTCGGACCCAAAATATGGCATTATTAGATTGGCCAAGCTATAGCCCTGACCTAAATCCAATAGAAAATGTCTGGGGACTTATGAAGGAAAGTGTCAATTAGAAATATCTGACAAATATTGCTGAAATCAAAGAAGAGGTGGTCCGATATTGGGACAGCATGGACCACGACTTTCTAACTTCTTTGAGTAGTATGCCCCGCCGCATTGAAGCCTGCATTGCTGTTCATGGTGACTTGACAAAATACTAACTGTTTACCTGTCTTTGAATCTGGAGTTATGTTCTGCTGATATTCACATTTAATATGTGAGTAATGAGTGAAAGAAATATAAAAAATTACAATCTTTAAATTCTCAATAATTTCTGGTTGTACTGTAAAACCAGCTTAAATCTGGGCTAGTACAAGCAGCCGCACATACACATACACAGGAATGCACGTCGTCATATGAGCGAAATATTCTCAAGTAGGACGTAAAACCCAATTTCACCTCACCACACCTCACCTCACCTCACCTCACCTAAGGCACCCGACCGTATTTTTGCAAAGGTTTAAGAGTTTCTCGACTCCGGACCTGGGCAACATGACTTACTGAAGACGATCGGCCAGAGTTGATAAAATCAAGAATCATTCAAGATAGTTTATTGTACATAAGGCCCCGACCCGTTTCCATAATATCATAATCACAGGCAAAGTATGGACAGTGCAAGTAGTGACAGTATCATATCATTGTGTCATTAGTTGCCGGAAGAAGTCAAACTCTTTCTTAATGTCAATGAACGTGCTGCTGATATACTGGGTGTCCTGGAATATTTTGAGTAATTAAACTAATATGGATAATATAGACAATGAAACATTCGGGATCCTAGTGGGAATATATTTACGATGTTGTGCCTTAAATACATATATGGAATCGTGTGTATTTAATCATGATTTTGTTTTGTTTTCTAGATCTCACAGCAGATGTCGTAGTTCTTCACGTGAGTAGAACCAGGGATCACTTTCGTTGATATTGTTGGTGCGGGATGAGATGTCGGGAAAATAGCATGGCCTCGTTGGGTTGTACGAAACACAGAACATGTTTGGTTAACACGTTACATGCCCTGAAAATCCGGTTTTGAAAACACAACAAAACGGCCGCGGTATCAACATGTCGTTGGACATGTTTGAGTGGATGGGTATTCGATAACATAATCTCTTCATGTTCTGTCTGATTTTGATGTTCTGATTATGTGTTCTCTGCAACCACAGGAAGATCCCCCACAAGATCCCCTACAAGATCCCCCACAACACAGGGTACAACTACAACAGATGGCGCCATCACCACGGGTGCCGATACAACCACACACACATTAACTGGTACCTCCCCAAACACGAGTACAACCGTGGCCACAAGCAAACCAACCACCACGGGAAGACCCCCAGGTATTGCCTTTGTGACATGGTGTACAAGCTGGGATACAACCTCTATAGTATATTAGCTAAAACATATCTCAAGAACTTGTCGTAAACTAGTAATAATTAATCATATAGTATTATGACAAATATTTTCATACATATATATAATTCATGTGGATATACGTAGTGTGTTCAGCTGGTTTGATGGGATAGCGATACGTATGAACTAAATGTATTAAAGAAATGATAATACCTCTTATGTTAACTTGCCCATGTCCATATGCAGCTGATGCCTCCCCTAAAAATGGCCATGTAGTAGGCGGAGCTGTTGGTGGTCTCGTCGGAGGTGTCGCCATTACTGTTATCCTCTTTCTACTCTGGCGTTTCTTCCGAGCTAAGAAAAGGTACTGGTAACAAAACACAAAGTCCTTTAAAAACTGGCATGATGGTAGACTGACTGACTGAGTTTGGTTTTACGCCGCTTTTAGCAATATTCCAGCAATATCACGGCGGGGGACACCAGAAATGGGCTTCACTCATTGTACCCATGTGGGGATTCGAACCCGGGTCTTCGGCGTGACGAGCCAACGCTTTAACCACTAGGCTACCCCACAGCACCGGCATGATGGTAGAACTGTAGAGGGTCCGTGGTTCGAATCCCAGCACGGGACTTTCGTGTGATTATTTAATAGGAGCCAAACAGGTCTGAGTACCATGCCTTCTGTTGACGGGGAAGTATGTAGCTGGTCGTGGGGTCATCCAACAGATGACATCCTTATCTTGTCAGCTTGCTGATAGGGTTAATCTCTTTGGTCATACGGACAAGGCGCCTGATAAAGGATCAGAAGATCCGTGGTTTGAAACTTTATGGCCACTATACTCTGTCTCACAGTCCCTCAACCATACTAATTTCCCTACAGTCTAGCCCTAAAGACGTCAATGAAGCAAGTCTGGAGATAGGACAGGGCTTAACACGAGGGCCAATAAATATGCCTGTCACTTATACCGGTGACTTCTAATTGATGACCCCAACACGTGTAGCCCCAATGCAGGTGGTTTTTGTCTCTGAATCTCTGGTCTCCCTCGGGCTCCTTTTCAATTTAAATGGGTTAATTTGTTACAATCAAAATCATATATTTAGAGACTAAGCGCTAGTCTATGACCAGCACCAACACCACGTATGTTCTATATCCATGGATATAGTGTCTTGGTGTTTTCTGGCGTATGAGTGCTCTTCCACCATATCAGGAACCTGAGCCAGGAAATTCAAAATAGCTCATGACCGAAGTGTTGTCAGACAAAAACACATTGTAAACGAGAGCTGAAAGTGAAGCATTTCTTACAGAGAATAACATACCAGGCATAATAATTGTTTGATCGGCATTCTAGAAGTTGGTGGGTCAAAAATGAAACATACAACTTTATGGATGACAAGAAGTTGTATGTTTCCTTGTTTTATACCAGGCATTGTTGTTGTTGACTCGTGATCTAACCTGAGTGAGTTGGAGTTGTCATAGACAGCTACTCACAGAGGGTCCCTTACGGTATGAGCACTTCTTAATGCGACCCGCGAAGATCCGGGTTAAAATTAGTCTTCACCAAACAGTGTTTGTCCTAAGAGACGACTTACGGGATCGGGAGGTCAGGCTCGTTGATGTCATCGGATTCCAGACTCGATTATTCACAAACCGTCGTCATATAGCTCCAATATTGCTGAGTGTGGCGTTAAGCAATAAACAAAAACTTGTTATGATTATTTTATTCGTATGATTTACATGGGTCTTGCTGCATCTGTTTGGTTTTCTTGAACAAACAAAACAAAAGCTTGAACAACACTGCTTTATGTGACCAACATTGCTGTTACAGAAGAGGAGACCGACCGAAGGAAGGAGAGACAGAAAACCCTCACACATACATGGGATTAGTAAGTTATGTCTTATTTATATTAATATTATTTTGTTTATCTATATATCATATCACCATCTGGATCATGGGAGTTAGTGGCACCGTATCCATGTGTGTCATGTCATTGCTGTGGAGGAAGCGTGAAGTAGGAGAACATACATGGTCTTGTCTGTAGAACATCTATGGGTCTTTTTCTAAACTTTCTCCCCCGCTTCACATCGCAAAGCTCCAGGACATCTAGGTAGAAAGTAAAGGGAAACTGAATCCTGCATATATTTTGATGACTGATCAGTATTCTTTCCCACAGGTTGTTCTCAATATCCACTTCATTGGTTAATACCTGTAATTTTGTGGATGTAAATCTATAACTCACCATTCATATGTAATGCCTTCCTTTCCCAGATTTACACCAACAACCCCAGCAGTTTGGTGATGTCCACAGTCCCGGATGTAATCATGGTGTCGCCAGCGCAACTCGCCCCCAATGAGGCGGAAGCTGAGTATAATGTTATTCAAGAGGAAGAAAATTACCAGTTGGCAAAGAAGATGGTTTCTGCCTCTAAGCAGGCAGATTACGCAGAAATCCCGGACACACAGAAGAGCGGTACATCACAACCTGCTGCTGAATATTTTGTCCTGGAGGAAGATGGCCACACAAGTGACGATTTAAACAGACTAAGAAACGCTGCGACTCCGACTGGAGGAAAGGATACATACAACAGACTGGGAGACGACACTGCTTCGACACCGACTGATATGAAGGGTACATACAACAGACTGGGAGACGACACTGCTTCGACGCCGACTGATATGAAGGGTACATACAACAGACTGGGAGACGACACTGCTTCGACACCGACTGATATGAAGGGTACATACAACAGACTGGGAGACGACACTGCTTCGACGCCGACTGATATGAAGGGTACATACAACAGACTGGGAGACGACACTGCTTCGACGCCGACTGATATGAAGGGTACATACAACAGACTGGGAGACGACACTGCTTCGACGCCGACTGATATGAAGGGTACATACAACAGACTGGGAGACGACACTGCTTCGACGCCGACTGATATGAAGGGTACATACAACAGACTGGGAGACGACACTGCTTCGACGCCGACTGATGTATAGGATACATACAACAGATTGAGTACAATCGATCAGGACAATAAAGACATTAAACAACCGGAACCAAACGGACGGGAGCAGATTACTTCTGACCAAGTTATACCCTCAGACACCAAGTTCTAATCTCCGTACACCAAGATTTACCCTCTAACACCAAGTTTTAACCTCTAACACCAAGTTCTAATCTCCATACACCAAGATTTACCCTCTAACACCAAGTTTTAACCTCTAACACCAAGTTCTAATCTCCATACACCAAGTTTTACCCTCTAACACCAAGTTTTACCCTGTAACACCAAGTTTTAACCTCTAACACCAAGTTCTAATCTCCATACACCAAGATTTACCCTCTAACACCACGTTTTAACCTCTAACACCAAGTTCTAATCTCCATACACCAAGTTTTACCCTCTAACACCAAGTTCTAATCTCCATACACCAAGATTTACCCTCTAACACCAAGTTTTAACCTCTAACACCAAGTTCTAATCTCCATACACCAAGTTTTACCCTCTTACACCAAGTTCTAATCTGCATACACCAAGTTTTACCCTCTAACACCAAGTTCTAATCTCCATACACCAAGTTTTACCCTCTAACTTCAAGTTCTAATCTCCGTACACCAAGTTTTAACCTCTAACACCAAGTTTTACCCTCTAACACCAAGTTCTAATCTCCGTACACCACGTTTTAACCTCTAACACCAAGTTCTAATCTCCATACACCAAGTTTAACCCTCGAACACCAAGTCCTACCCTCAACCATTTCATACCCTCAAACACCAAGTAATTCCCACCAACACTCAGTCATACCTTCTAACGCAAAACGACTTCACACTAAGGATTTGAGCAAGGTAGTATGACACAAAGGAAACGTTCTTTGTCAACCTATATATTAGATAAAACAAAAGCCACTCCATCCGATGCTTTTGATGTATGATAATAAGTGTAGTTTAACTATTTCTCTTTAATTTAAAATTTGAAACATTTTTATGATCATTGTGTATATCATGCTGTCTGTAGAATATACTCCCGGGTTCCCCTGCTTTGAAAGCTACATTGATGCCCCTTATATTATGTAGGTAACTGATAAATAAGCCAAGTAGGCCCGAAGGAAAATATCACTTTGTTTACTACCTGCAAGTTATTTTCTCGTTAGAGTGTTGTTGTTATTATTTGCTTGCATCCAGCTCACTTATACTGTGTAACATAGCCATACATACTGTTTCTTCTACAGTTTTTGTTACAACACACCATCATTTGATTATTTGTTCAATGTGTACCCATATTCATTAGAATGTGAAAAACGTAATAATGTCTCATATCAAAAGCAATAAAATCTCACCTGCCTAATCTTTGTTTGAATATTATTTATACACATTGTTTAACTATAACAATCCGCGTTTTATGTGTCATAGTTTCGAAACAAGTAATCTACATGGGATAATTGTAATCTCCACATGGATAACCTCTGATGCTGGTGGCTGTCTATACATTATCATGTGTACAATGGTAATAACGACATCTACAGATATTGAAGCAACTACCCGACGTTTACGCCTGCAGTTGAAGCAGGTGTGTGTGTTTGTTTACACACTCCATTTAACAACAACAATCTGCAAAAATCGATTGATACGCTCTCAGGACTTTCAGGCATATCATGGCCTGTCAATATGTGGAATAAAAACATTTCGATAATCATATGACATGTCTTTTGAAAGCAGAGCTCATTGTACCAGTGCGGTTACACCATACGCCTGATGCTTATGAATCACTATCAAGAGTCAATGGTCAAACACATTTACCAGATGAAACCTACATGTACCAGCACGGACAGGTGCCGACAGTGCAAATGTCTTAATCAGGACCAGCCTGGGACTCGAACACACGTCCAAAGAAGCGTTGCATGGTAAGGGACGTAACTCCAGCCAGCCTTCCCAACACTTCCTTCAGGCAGGTGGAGTATGTTCAGTCAAATTAAGTTAAAATCTGATGTCATTCGATATATGAAACTTAACACGCATTGTGCAGGAAAACATGGGTCTGTCGACAGCCCGTGGTTTTTAAACAAGTCGCCAATAACGCATTTGATGTATATATTCTATATCAGAATATTTTATCAAACATTGTGAAATCTGTTTCCGAGCACATGCGATACTACTTCACCGGTCACAAAGAACGTTAGCAGTCTCTAATACTATCGTGTGTAAAGGAAAACACGCCGATAAATAGTCATACTTCCGGGTTGGTTCCGTTGGCAATGTGCCAGCAGGCTAATTTCACCACTACATCTACAAGGTAATGGGGAATATAACTATAGGGTTAGTCCTCTGAGTCCATGAAATATGTAAATGTGAACTTCAGCCATATTGAAGTTGATTATGATGGACAGCAATAGAATACCATATCAAGCCTATTGTATGCTTAAGTTAGTTTAGTTTGACGCCGCACTCAGTAACATTCCAGCTATATGGCGGCGATCTGTAAATAATCGAGTCTGAACCAGACAAGCCAGTGATCAACAGCATGAGCATCGATCTGCGCAATTGGAAACTGATGACATGTGTCAACCAAGTCGCCTCTTACGACAAGCATGGGTTACTGAAGATCAATATTCTAATCCGGACCTTCACGGGTATGCTTAAGACACATGGTGATGCATGGGGAATTACATGGGCATCGCATACTAGAAATATGGTTTTGGTATTTTATGGACAAGTCAGGACATAGGAAATAAAAACTGTTTATCTCACTTTTTAAGCAGAGATTGTTTGATTGTTTGAACCAAGATTGGCATCATGCTGTTTCATTTTTTAGCAAATGTCAGACATACTGTCAATTTAAGACAATGTTGCAAGTTGAAAGATTACAAACATGATTAGTATTACAGATGTAATAACTTCAAACTTTCAACTGAAACAGGGAGGCATGATAACACACTGTACTGTAACTGACTTTGTTTATATTGTCATAGCCAAGGCATGTCATTAGTTGAAGATGAGGAGCACTTATTGATGGTTTGTCAACGCTATAAAGATACAAGAAATGAATATATTAACCATACCTATATTAGAAACTCGTGTAGGGAAAGTTTAGTAAGACTTATGTCATGTAATTATGTAAATGGTTTGATAAGTATTGCTAACATCTGATAAAGGCTCGTAAAATTAGAAATGCATAAATTAAGTCAACATTCTGCATACTAAGATTTATATGTTATCTTAAGAAGGATATATACTGCCTATACACTGTGCACAAATGTTTAATCTTTCAGGAACGCTCTGACAATATTATTGATTGTTACTGGTTTACCAGCATCAAATAAAAACATCAGGAGATGTATTGTAATGTGGGCCATGACCTTATATACGGAAATATAACTGTCTGTCTGTCGGGTTGGAGAGATTAGAACGACATGTTTCCGGACAGATATGCAGCAGGTCAGGATGAAACTAAACTCTGTCAAAAAAGAAACGCAACCCCTGTATTTTAGAGATGTTGATCTGAAGTTTTAGGACGACACGGCATTTTTATTATTTAAGACAGAAGTCTGAAATTTGGCAGAATAATAACCCAGATGGGCATGTTTAAAATTGTCATTTCAAAAGTCATCTCACAGACACCAGTTTGTCACCAGGGGGGCGTCTTTCTCAGTATCTCGTATGAGCACCACGCGCTGCAATCACTGCACGGCATCTCCTTGACAAGAACGGATAAGACGCCGGATTCTTTCCTGGGGAATGGCTCTCCACTCTCCTGCAGTGCAACGGCGAGCTGTTGCAGCGTCTGTGGCGGCGGCTGACGTTGACGTACGCGTCGATCCAGAGTATCCCACAGGTGTTCAATAGGGTTGAGGTCTGGTGATTTAGAGGGTCATGGCAAGACATTGACGTTGGAATTCTGCAGAAAGTTCATTGTTGCACGTGCAGTATGAGGCCGGGCGTTGTCCCGTTGAAAATCTGTGTCTGTTGGTCAATAATCGGGAGAAGGTGAAGCTCTAACACGTGGTTGATGTAACGTTGGGCTGTCAGGTTCCCTGGAACGATCACCAAGTCTGATTTCTGGTTGTATGAGATGGTTCCCCAAACCATGACGCTTTCTCCGCCAAATCTGTCCACCTGTCGGACGCAGATGGGCGCAAAACGTTTATGACGTCTCCTATACAGACGCTGTCTTCCGTCGTGACGTTGCAAAAGAAAACGTGATTCATCAGAAAACCAGATTCGCCTCCAGTTTTGTAAAGTCCGTATCCTTACGTTGTTGCACCACCTGAGTCGTCGGCGTCGATGTAGGGGGCGTAGTACAGGTCCAACAACTGGTCTACAGGCACGTAAACCCGCTTCTTTCAGACGGTTCCTAATCGTTTGAGCTGACACTCTCCTCAAACCTGGTATTTGTGTGGCAGTCACGGTTGGTAGGGCATGCCGATTACGCAGGTGATGGACCCGGATGTACCGATCTTGAAGGGGGGTCGTGATTCTTGGCCTTCCACTTCTCGGGCGATCGTTGGTCAAATTGAAGTTGTTGTAGCGGCTCCAAAGTCGGGATATCGTTGTTTTGTGAACATTTAGGTGCCGTGCAACAGTTCCAAAACTTTCTCCGGCTTGAACACGACCAATGGCGATATTTCGGTCGGCAGCACTCAATCGTGGCATTTTAACACAGCTTTCGGCGACAAATGAATGAATATAATACGGAAGCACATGGGCTTTATACACCCCTACATTAACTGCCATTTTCATGATTTGCATGTGTTTTTTTTGTGCGAAGTCACCATGAGGGTCATTTCATGCGTTGTGACGGAATAAGCAATAAAATACACTTATGCGTACAAATGCAGTTGTTTGGATGGTCATCTTCAGTAATTACGTGTATCATTTCAATACATTCGAATAAAATTTAGTTTGGAAGCAATAACTTCATTCAAACGAATTTTTCATATCTGAGGACAGGGGTTGCGTTTCTTTTTTGACAGAGTTTATATACACACATGTGGAGTGTAAGTCAATCGTTTCTATTAGAAATAATATATATTTTGTTATTAACGTAAAAGGGTTAATGGTCAGTTTATTTTAGGGTATAATGGTATAATATACACTCTTCAAAAAAGAAACGCATATGTGATTTTGAGAATATTGGACTCATATAGCTACGGCAAAACAATACAAATATACTATTTCTTTCCAAAACATCATCTTTGTGTGATTGTAAACAGCTTCAGTGCTAACATGCGGCAAATTTAACTTTTTTCTGGTTTTAGAAGCGTTTGAAGAAAGATTCGCTCAAACGTCATGAAGAAAACATGCAAAGGAAAATGCACGTGCAAGTAAGCGGAAAAGCATGCGGTATCGATCACTATAAAATGGCAAGCGTTGTGTTTATTTTTGTCTTTAGTTTTTGCCTGGAAAAGAGGAAATCATCCTGCCACTGTGTGCTGCTAATCGAAACATCGCAATAGGCCGTCTTGAAGCTGGGGAGTCGCAGTCTGCAGTTGTACGACATTTCAACGTTCATCAGTGCACCATATCTCGCCTTTGGGATCGTTTCCTGTTTCCCAAACTGTCAGGAATAGATTGGGGGATTCGACCAAGAGACTTAGTTTTGAGATACTTCCATCGGCGCAATCGCTTGCGGTGGTGTCGTAGTGTCCGGAACTGGAACCTTAGAAAATGGATGCGAGTCTGGTTCAGTGATGAATCACGATGTCCTCATCACCGGGAGATGGAAGACAGCGTGTTTACTGTCCACTGTTTACTGAAAAATTAATTTTTTATTATGAGATCAGTTGTCATTGATTAAGTGAATTAATACAGTGATTATGAATATTTACAACAGCGATAAGAACCCCATTACTATAATCATATTTGTTTTATACAAAACATTTTCAGATTCGTGTCATGTGGAATAATTACGAAATTTTCTGAACCACTGAAACGAATTTACAGGTAAATGCATGTCAGTTATCAGCTTCAAATTATCTGCATTTGGTGAATTTGGGTGACCAATGAAATGATGACTTAGAATGTCCCACAGATGGGTCCTATCATAGGCGAAAACTGATTCATTGGTATGTTTCTAGTCTCAGACACATAACATCAGCACCAAGGGTGAGGTGTCATCTAAAGGCAGCTCAATGACACCCACAGTCCACGCTGTCAGCATGGTGTCGGGACACCAAGACATGGGTACTAGCCGGACGTTCATGGTCCAGTATCACTTCCCTCGAAGAAGGTTGTGTATATACACCTAGACAGACAGGACGGGAGAGACAGTGTCAGACACGTACCTTGGTTTGGTAGGTTGCTGCTGTTGGAGGTACATGTGACACTGGTGTATTTGGGGCGGTGGGGTAGCCAAGTGGTTAAAGTGTTCGCTCGTCAAGGCGAAGACCCGGGTTAGAATCTCCACATGTGTACAATGTGTGAAGCCCATTTCTGGTGTCCCCCGCCGTGATAATGCTAGAATGTTGCTAAAGGCGGCGTGCGTACGTGTGTGCGTGGTTTGTAAATGTATTAGTGTTAGCCCACTGAGATACCGTGCAGTGATGTTTTATCCCCTTACTGTCGGTCGCCGCAGGTATTTAGCGACGATGCCAGGCGGTTCTGGACTCTCACGGGGGCTATACAAGATATTGAGAACAGATGACCTTCACTTTGACACGTTTCATATGTGCCATGATGAACCTCGGTCAGTGACAATGACTTGTGCCAAATTTGAACCGTTTATTGTGATCTATTGGTTATTTATATACATAATACATAAAACATACATCTGAAAAACACTTTTTGCAGAGTGTATGTCTTTCAGGAGTCATTCTAGGTACACACAGATAATGTCAGTGACTGCTTTGATTTAACCGTTTTATAATTCCATTCCTCAGATCCACAAATACGGTAACGTGTCTATAGA